GCCGTTAAGTTGCAAATACTTCTGTTTGAGAACGCAATAATTGGGCATTTCGCAACCAGGGCATTTTCAGGGCAGTTTTGGCCTTGTTGTTGGGAAATCCACTAGGCCTTCTAGGCTTGGTTCCTCCGCCCCGCCCCCAAATCACCTAGTCCCAGTCTTTTCATGTGAAAAAGTGCTGAATATTAAAAACATATAAACAAGACTAGAAGGTCTAGGCTGCGTCTGACCGTGTAGCTCAGTTGGTAGAGCGTCGATCTAGTAATTCGAAGGTCGCGGGTTCGAGACCCAGCCGCGGCAGACAACATCTTTCTGCTTGCGCTGGGTATGGAAATTATATAATACACGCTCTAGAACATTTTCATCTTAATATATATATATATATATATATATATATATATATATATATATATATATATATATATATATATATATATATATATATATATATATATATATATATATATATATATATATATATATATATATATATATATATATATATATATATATATATATATATATATATATATATATATATATATACGAGTAGGTTTGTGTATACGAAACGCAAAGAGTGCTCAATATATATCATAAATATAGAGCAAATGTAGAATTTCGCTTACCTCAAAATTCCGCAACAGTCTGTTTCATACCGCCTGATGATTCTTTGCTGATGAAACAGACTGTTGCGCAATTTTGAGGTAAGCGAAATTATATATATATGTATATATATGTATATATATATATATATATATATATATATATATATATATATATATATATATATATATATATATATATATATATATATATATATATATATATATCCTACGATGACATGATGCCACTGGATAGACTTCGAGTGCGTTCGTTAGCCTGTCGTACGTATGTACGTCTTATTGTCATTGCTGTAGGTTGTCCAGCTGGTCGCCATGGCTACGGCTGTCTCTATCACTGTGAATGCCCGGGGACTATCTGTGATCACGTGACTGGAAAATGTATTTGTAATTCTGGAACTACTGGAATCGCGTGTGAAAAAGGTATACGTTGATTCATGTTCCTCCCGTGATATTCACACTGCATGGGCAAGCAGAAAACTACTTCAACTTGAGTGATATTTTTAATTCATATGGTATGCTTATCTGCCTAGCGGAAAACCACCTGGCATGTTGGGATTTATACTTGGGTAGATTAGCATCCAATATATATATTTTAATACAGTATAGTAGCTATACTATAGTATCTTTACCACTAAAATTATTTTGAAAAAAGTAAGTTATAATAAAAAAACACTTTAAAAATGACTTTATCAAAAATCACTTTAAAAATGGCTTGCGTACAAAAATGAAAGGCTTATTAATTAACGCAATTTGAAACGTTTTGTAAAAAGTATGTAAGAAATCAATCATGCATAAAACCAATGATGCATAAAATCAGGCACTACATGTGATAAATCATGCGTGAAAGGTTGCTGTAGCCAAAAAGTCCAAGGTTTGGAGGTCGCGCGCAGGACAATTAATGTACATCAAATTATCTGGTACTTTCATAGTTCGTAAACCACCTTCTAAATTTGCACCCTAAGAAGATGTTACCGTGTGAAAATAATTGTAAATAATAATAATTCAAATTGCGTTTTAAGTCTTCGATTTTTGCGCGCAAGCCATTTTAAAGTAGTTTTTAAAAACAACTCTCCTGCACTTGAAAATTTACTTTTCAAAATAATTTTAGTAGTAAAGATACTAGCAGATCCCAAACTACGCATGTTTCCATCAAGTTTTCACAAATTTTGCGCAATTTGCAGTTTAGCGGACATTATCGGACTGTGTAGTTTTTTATACACCTTGTATATATTAGAAGATATTCTCCAAGTAATGTCCACACCAGGCAAGTACAAAACTACGTACGTATACTTGCATTGATCATGGTGAGATCTGTACTCAGGTAGATTATATGTATTGGATGATATTCTCCAAGTGATCTTCAGACCAAGCAAGTAGCTAGAAATCTATTTGATCATGGTGGCCGGGATTTGTACTCAAGTGGATTGCGTATATTACGTGATGTCCGCCAAGATAGCGATTTAAAATTTGAAATTTCGTTTGCCCAGGTTGTAAGATTACCCACTATGGTGTTAAATGTTCGAACAAGTGTGAATGTCTGCCAAATGGAGGGTGTCATTTCTCGTCTGGTACTTGCAAATGTGATGAACAACATTTTGGTGCGAAGTGTAGTCACAGTAAGTCCTGATAAACTTAATTTTTGCCAACGCAATCATTTCCATGGCAACATAACTCCCAAAAAGCACTAGAATCGTAGCCTTTTGTGCCGTGTGGCCATACGAAAGTGCGAATTAAACTTAATTTGTGTTTTGGCCGCCAGTCTTGGCTCTCTTTGTCTGTTCTGAGTCGATTGTTTTTTGATAAAACAATCGACTCAGAATCTATTTCCACTACCGCCACCATTTAGGGACCATTAACCAATCAGATGCGTTTATTCCATAATACTTGAGCATATGCCATAACAAAAAATATTTCAAAACAATTTTTATTAATTTAAAACAGCTCGCGTAATAGTTGTAACAAAAACAGCATTTAAAAACTTTTAGTAATTTTATTGGCTAGAAATTGTTTTTAAAATTATACCTTTATACACTGCTAAACGCCTAAACCAAACTTTGTCGCTTTCTTTGTCTTTTGGGGAACCGCAGCTTCGTTTCGTGAAAACCTTTTCTCATCCGTAACCGGAACGAAACGGGAGCTGAGCAACCAATCAAATTGCTCGAAAAGCACTATCCACCTCTCGAGTATACAGTATGCTATATATCAGTATTATATAACTAGGGATGGGCCGATATCGATATCAGGCTTTTGAAGAAAAGTATCGATCCTGGCAAGAAATATCGATTGTTTCGATACTTCTGAGCCTGCGATATTCTTTTGATTTTGGTCATCATGAAAATGATAAAAAGTTGTTCATTTTCTATGATGCTTAATGGTCCACGGGCAGGATCAGAGTTTGTTGTTATGTTAGTTACAATCATGAAAGTAAACGTGTTGAAAACGTGTTGAACTTAACGTATCTTAACCAGCATGATTTTGGCGTCGAAGAGATGAAAATACTCTTTTGTTTTTGTGGTTTTTCGAGTTGGGAAAATATCGATATCGAAAAAATTGGCAAATATTGAGTAAATATCGTATTGAATGAAAAAGCTGGTATCGCCGATCCCTATTTATAACCGCACACACTCGAATTCGTTTATGACAGTAACTTTAATACTCATGTACACCTCAAAAATTAATACGTTAGAAACTATTCCAGCGCCTCGTTTCTCAATTTAATAATTTTATTATTGATATATGTATAATAGTATATAAATGTTTATTTTTGTTTAATTTATAGATGTTGACAAAATAGAGAATGCGCATTTTCCTGTTTACGTCTTTAAGCCGGCGTTATAAGGTATAATTGTACAGTTAGCAAACGTTTAATTATTAAGACATGATAAGGTAAGCTTCTTATACTGTATATTACTGTGTATATTTAATATCAATCGAAGTCAAATCAACAAATATGGCGGTTATGTGGCGGCGCAAAATATAGTTATATTTTTATGACGGTAACTGGTTAATCTGAAAATGTTTTAGAAACAAAAATAATTTTTGCCCAAAGATTTTCCTATTTAATGTAAAACTAGAATACATCAACCAAATTTAGAATTTAGTTATAACTAGCCAAAAAATATTTTTTATAGCTATACTTAGCTATAAAACTATAACCGTGGCTATAGATATGTGGGTTCTTTTTGTCCTATACTCAACTACCGGAAATAATGGAAACTCCGAACAAAATATTGATTATCCTGATTATGACTGAATGGAAACGTTGATATTAAATTAATATGAAAGTTTTTTGAGTTTCCATTATTCTGTATTCTATAAAAAACAAAAGCTTAATAGTTGTACAGGTCTGTTTATACACTTGTAATTTTTTACTTTTTGCTGCGATTTTAGGTGCGATTTCCTCTTCTTGTGGATGTGAACAAGTGCATGAGTTCGGGGGCGTAGGAACCGAGGCCCCCCAAGTTTTGCCAAGTGCCCTTTTTCCGGGAGCAAAGTGCCCTTTTTTTGCGTTAAAAATTTTCAATAAGATTGCCTTTTTTACCCGAAGGGAACTTTTGAAAACTTGAATCTATGTTATTTCCGGAAAATTTTTTTAATTTCCGAGAAAAATATCATATATCCTGAAAATTTTTTGGTATGTCCGGAAAATTTTTTTCGTATTTAGGAAAAAATGTGGTATATCCGGAAAATTTTTTTGGGTATGTGCAAAAAAATTTTTTGAGATGACCTCCCCCCGATGATGCCCTTTTTTTTCGAAAGTGCCCCTCAAAGCCTGGTCCCCTACGTCCCTGCATGAGTTACTGAATGTTGACATGCGGGTTCGTACTGTATATTCATCTATTCATGACTCTTATCTACTCGTTCACATGCATCAGAAGAAAATCGCACTAAAAATCATAGGCAGCCCAGAAAATGTGTAAAAATGCATTAAACGCTTAAAAATACGTATAAAGTTCGTCTCAATTTGCTATCAAGCGATTGATTTGTGTAGCTCATTATACATGCAGATTCCGATGTTTACGTCATTGTATATTATCCTATATGAAAGTACAATGACGTAAACATCGGAATCTGCATGTATAATGAGCTACACAAATAAATCGCTTGATAATAAATTGAGACGAACTTTATACGTATTTTTAAGCGTTTAATGCATTTTTACACATTTTGCTGGGCTGCCTATATGGTGTAAACGGGCCTTAACAAGCTTTTTCAGAATTAAGCTCTAATAGACATTTTCCCAGTTTGACAAATTGGGTTTTTGAACTCCAGTCTGTGAAGCTACGTTTACACGCTGCGTTTTCTGGCGTATGTCATTGAGTAAACACGCGTAAGCTGGCTACATTTGGAATTTCTTTTTAACGAAACGGCAATGAATTATGGTGCCAGCACTTATTTTAATACGCCAGAATACCAATCGTACACGACAAATCGTAGCGTGTAAACGTAGCTTGATGCAACTTTTGAACGTCTGTAAAATTCCTGTCCCAACCTAATCATCCTAATCATATGATGATGATATGCGGCAATTTATTCCAATTTTTCAGTGATGTTTAGTCATGTGATTGCATGCATTTGGCGGTTTCCTCGCCTCGGTATTTCTGCCAAACTTTGATGCGCAAAGCAAAGCCTCTATTTCAAGCACGTCAGTGCTTCCTTATATAATGCTAAGGGAAAGTACATTTATTACGTTTATTAGGTTTTTGGGACGTTTTTTGGGAGAAAAGGGGAGTCTGGGGGTCCTCCCCCAGAAATTTTTTCATTTTGGAAGCTCTAGGACTGGATTTCTGGCGTTTTCTAAAGCAAAGTCGCAAACAAATTTCATGTAAATTGATTGTATTTTACAAAAATGGTTATCATTTCACAAAAATAATTACTTTATGACGCAAATTTTACCTGCAAATGTCAAAATTTTAACTTGAATTTTACTCATGATTTTGCCTGAATCTCACAGTGGGGGTGGAGGTTCCAAACCATCTATTCTATTAACTATGATGGGAGTGAACACTCCAGGCCCCTGCTGGACCAAAACTTTGAAAAATTTAGAGCCCCCCCCTTCAGTATATCGAGAACTTTCAGAGCCCCCGTTTAATGCCAGAAAGTATTTCGGTGCCCCCTCCTTAACATCTTCATCCCCCCCCCCTCGGCATAATAAATGTACTTCCCCTAACTCTATTCTATTTGAAAATACGAAATTATTCTTATTCATTATTTATAGTACTGATAAAAAAGTGGAGAGGTCAATTATTTTCTATCGTTGTAAAAGGTGGGGGGTATTCTTAAGATGTGCTCTCGCGGGTGGGGTTAAAAACATTTTATGACATTTATAAGAAAGATGAGATGTAGGAAACGATGCAGAAAAATAGGGAAAAAAGTATTAATGCTGATAAACTAGTTCACTTTCTAGCATTTTCACGTGAATATTACAGTAAGCATGGATTCATATCCTTTCCTTAAATTCGTTTCAATATAAATAAAATATAAATTTGTGCTGTCTGGAAAAGAATTCTTCAAAAACTATGATTAGAATATTTTGTATCTCCAAGTTCCTTGCTTTAAATGACATTTATTTGTAAATTTTGTATGAAAACATCAACTCTTTTGTGGCCGCCATATTGGATTTCTCCGCCCCGCGGAGTATGACGTCATTGTAATGTTAGCATTGTGGCCGTCGCTGATTGCGTGGATTATTTCTGTATTAAAGTACGTCGTCGCTGATTGCATGGCTACAAAAACACTCAGTTCAGATAAGATGGTAATATCTGCTAAGCAGATACAAAAATGCTATACGTACTATTTAAAACACGAGTAGGAGTGTTTTATCAGATATAAAACGCGAGGCGCAGCCGAGCGTTTTATGTCTGATAAAACACGACAACGAGTGTTTTGAATAGCTTAAAATACGACTACAAAAGAATACTAATTAGGATGAACCATTATATAATCATACTAATTAGGATGAACAATTATATAATGCCACATGCTTTATCAGATATAAAGTCACTCCACGTGACATATTATGGCTGACATGATTTGCCACAAGGTTTATGAATTATTAATGAGTATTTTAAATTCTATTATACTTATCAAATGCTACAAAAGAATATTAGTATAAGTGTATAGTAATTATACGTAGATGACATAAATGCATAAAAATATAATATAACCATAATTGGAATATATGTAAGGTAAAGTTAAATTAAGGTTATTCAAAATGATTAACAAATGGCGAAGAAAACGTTAACTGAGATATATAATAAGTCCAGAATTACGAAAAGGTAAAGATATATAATAGGCACTACAAGTTGTCTCCATCTGAACGTTTGACATTTTTCCATATTCATGTTTAATTGCACGGAGATTTGTATTCATTGAGGATTTTGTATTTACCAGGGGCTACTTCTTTGATTGCCATCTTAACGATCTCAAAAAAGTCTCCGACTTTTTCCACACGAAACAAAAAGTTTTCGGGTGGAAACGTGGCCACGTGTGCCATCTCGTGGATTCCAGTCATGTGCTGTCCGCCAATAGCAACAACAAATACGTCTACTCCATTTTCCTTCAACTTTTGAGCATTTGGAACCGTCTTGTTGTTGTCTTTATTAGAATGGCCATCTGTTAATAGCAGTACAATCTCGCGTGAGTCGAAACCGCGGCTTCCTGCAATATAAATTTGCCGAGAAAATCAAAGCTAAAGTTTATGTAGATGAACATGATTTTTTATCACATATGAAACCACCGACACGGCAGTGATTTATTTTGTATTGTCCTCATGAATTATTGAGTTTTTTAAATATGTACTATTTAAAATAGGAGTAGAAGTGTTTTCTCAGATATGAATCAGGACAAATCTTTATCCGATTTACAAACATTGATTAAACATTCATTTCTTTTGTGTTTTCTTCATGAATTATTAACGAGTATTTTAAGTACTAGTTAAAATATGAGCAGTCGATCTTTATCTGATATTCAAACTTGAGCGGAAGGTGAGAGTTTGCAGCCTCGTCCCCGGCGCTTTGATGTTGCGTGACGCGCGCGCGGGAGGACACGATTCCCGCGCGTGCGTCACGCAACCAGTAAGCACATCAAAGCGCCAGGGACGAGGCTGGAGAGTTTGTATATCAGATAAAGATTGGATGCGCTATACCCTATAATAATTGCCAATCCTATAGGCTAACGACATGTACGCAATCGTACCTATTGTTCTCGAGTGAGATATTGTTCTCGAGTGAGATATTGCGCGTTCTGGAAATTATGAAATATCTCACTCGAGAACATTTCTCCATTCTATTGGCTAAATTGCTCCTTGCGCATGCGTATCCGCTGAATTTTGTCTTCTTGTCGTGCCCATCTTCGAAAGCACGACCAACTGAAGTTAAATCCCGTTGGATTATTCTACAATTTTGTCGAGATTTAATATTCAAGTTATCTTAGTTAGGTATATATGGAAATCAATAATAGTAGTGTATTGTAGGAAGCCCATTTTGATTTGGATAGAATATTTCTGGCTTCTAAAGGCCTGTTTAAACGGATCCAACATTGTTGGACCAACATCATCCAACAATGTTACTATAATAGATATGACTGCTTCTCTTTCAAATCTTTTTGGTTAGATAAGCTTTACTCAAACTCTAAACCTAGTCTTGACAAAAATATTTGAAAAAGAAGCCGTTTGGGCCATTATTTCAACAATGTTGGATGATGTTGGTCCAACAATGTTGGATCCGTTTAAACAGGCCTTAACAAGATATTTTAGCTCACGAACAGACAATGCTTGTGAACAAGCTCGATTGTGTATTTTATATAATGGCCAGTGGCGTAGCCAGCCCGACGATTCAGTCTCGCTATGCAAATATTTTTGCCATGTTTATAAACTATCAACACAATTTCTAAAGAAATCAATAATGATAATGAGTTGAAATTTGCATAGCGGGACCAAATCGTGGGGCTGAATATAATGTTATCGTGATAACCGTTGAAAGACAGGTCTGTCTCCTGATCGAACAGTGTCTTTGTGGACCTGAACAGCTTGCGTTGGTCATGGCTGTTCTCTGCTATAAAGCTTGTGTAGTATTTTCTCCGCGCCTGCTTCATCACAGCAGTAGCAGGGTTTCTCAGGGCCTTGAAAATCAAAAGGTCACTGTGCAACTTTGTTCTGCGCCACTTTCTCTCATCCCTCGGTGATCACTTTTGGCGGATTTGGCCTCATTGGTCAGTATGAAAACTAAGAAAATCACTCGCAAATAGACCGCGACCAGTCCCTCGGGAGAAAGGAGGGACCGCCGACAACACATCAAGAAACGAAATATGCCCACTTTTCGCTCTTGTCAAGTTGGCTCCTCCTTTGCATAAAAATTACTTATATCCAATTAAATCTATCCAATAGGAACCGTTAATGTCATGTTTATTCATAAAATCAACATTTAGTCTGGAAATTATTTATAGCATAATTACTACGTATCAGATTTGATGGACAGGCGTGTCGATTTCGACCAATGGGAATTTTGCGTTGTGTGGGCAACGTGTATTTCGTTTCTTGATGTGCTGTCGGCAGTCCCTCCTTTCAATTCGCATGCCCGGAAATCTAAACTCGCGGAAAGGAGGACCTCTCGCAGTTTTCTCCAAAAATATATATGGGTGCAGACATGGGGCGGAGGTGGGTTGTGGAAAAAATTAACACGTGATGTTCACTCGACAGCAGGCTGAATGCGACTATGGTTGAAAAGTAAATTAGGGTAGCTTATAACCCCATTCAAAATAAATCCTTAATCTTTTAGATCCCTCGAGATATTTAAAGTGCTTTAAACCCAAAGATATTCGAATGAGGCCGCCTACCTCATGAAATACAGGCAAACAATACGCGACCTATAAAATTTGTAATTGTATGTTAAGAGGGAAGACATATTTGACTTCCACTACCGCTACCACTGCCTCGCACTTTCTTAGTACGCATCTGATTGGTTAATCGGATATATCAGATGCACTTGATTGGTTAATAGTCCGGCTTAATGGTAGTGGAAGTCAAATCTGAACCTTCGTAATATCAACGTAACAGAAACTATTATTACTGTGATTGCCTGTGCAAGAAAGAAAGAAAAAATAGAGTGAAAAGAAAGAAATTTCGCTGCAATAAGCACTGCAATTCTTACCTGTTATGAACAGATCAAATGCCTCAGCAAGACCAGCTTGAGTATTTGTCGCCCCACGAGGAAACTTGACACCACTCATTTTGGCTGCTGCATCTAACTGGGGCAAGAAATTGAAGTCTCTTCTCGCCTGCGACGCGAATGTTACCATGGCATACTTAGCGTCTATTCCGGGTTGTTTGTATTGCATTAAAGCTTTCAAAGCTTTCTTTCCATTATTGAATTCACACAAGCCGATCGACCCGGATCCATCCATCACGATTACGACATCCTCTATATGGCTCGATCTTTTGCCGCGGTGACGTATGCGCAGGAAATTTTTTATAAATTTTTTGGCAGTTTCATTCTTGGGAGGAATTTCTTCTCGTAATTCTAAATAGAATCATATACAGCTTGTTTGGCAAACTTTGATCACTCGTGAGAGCACGTGTGAATTATACTGTACTTGTATTCAAAATTGCACCGTATTAATAAGGCCCATGTACACTTGCCCTTTTGCTGCGATTTTAGGTGCGATTTTCTTCTTCTGATGGATATGAACGAGTGAATGAGCGTACAGTACATACCATTGATTCAGGCCTGTTTCAAACGTCGCGCTTCTCATGTGCCGAACGCATTAAAAACAATAGATAATGAGCTGAAATGCCTCATTATCTATTGTTTCTAATGCGTTCGGCACATGAGAAGCGCGACGTTTGAAACAGGCCTCAGTGTCAGGGGCGGCGCTAGCCCCATTTTATTTAATGCGGGGGGGGGGAGGGGGTGTGGGATTAAGTGAAATTTTTCCGAGTCATGTCCATTGTATATAAAAGAAATTTCTCCTTAATCAATGTTTCCTCCCCCTCCCAATTCTTGGCGCGGATTGGTGGGGGGAGGGGGCGGGTTAGCGCCTAAACATAAAATATAATTATTTCCCATCATTTTTTGGAATGACGTTCCCCTTCTTCCTTTAATTTCCTCCAAATTTCAGCAATAATTATTAGGTTTTAATTAGTTTCACTATAATATTTCATTTTTTCCTTCCTATCCAATTCATGTTTTGCGGACTGTGAAAACAATTTGCCGACTGGAGTACAATGATTTTCCGGCTACCTGATGACTGGGGGTTGTCCCACCCCCCACCCACACCCTCTAGCTCCCGCCCCTGTTCAGAGGTACATGCACTTATAACATTCATAATTGATCTACTCGCGTTCACAACCATCAGAAGAAGAGAACCGCACTTTACAATCCGAAGAGAACCGCCTTTACAATTCGTGCTCACCTTTGTGCGAGAAATTAAAACTGAGCGAAAACTAATGCGCGCAAAAAAGTTTGCTGCTCTAATATGCGCTGAAATTATTCCGCGTGTCAACGCCATCGCAACACAAAATACTGGAAGAAAGGCAAGCAAATGAGAAATTATTCTAAATTACGTTATGTATAATATGCAAGTATTATAGCTATTATGGCCTGTGTTCATTTGAGCCCCGTTGGTCGGGAAGCTCACCTGAATGGAATTAATTATTTCTGTTTTAATTCATATGACTGTTATTATCTCGCCTATGATATCCCGCTTCGCTATTATTTTTTTGTTTGAGTATCCTACTATGCCGTTTAATGCTATATTAGTGAGCTTATAAGCAACACAGACGTCACCCAAAAATTTGATAACTAATTTTGGCGGCATTTGCACGATAGCGCTCGTGCAAGGAATCTTTCAAAACTTTCAAAATTTTATGTTTTGTTATATTACCACAAACTGATACAAACGCAGTTTTGATAAAAATCTATAAGTATTGTTTTGTTGTGCAATCCGTCATCAAGATTTGCATGGACTGCAATTCATGCAGTGTTATAAATAAAGTATATAGAGTAGTTACTGGTTAATACTTCACACAAGCGCGTCTAGATTTTGTACATGTAATACACAGTATTGGAATTGACTTTGCAAGTCTGTTTGTAAAAATAAAAAAAATAAAAAATTGGCAGTTGGGGATGGAGTGCTCCCAAAGGTCATGCGTCCTCAACCCCATAGACTCACACAAATTAATGTATTACATTAGTGTATTTTAAAGTAAACAATGACCATCACCGGGAGCTACTACACCTTGGGTAAAGTCCAACATGGGGGAACTATGCACGACCCCCTGAGGCTGAGGAAATATAATTATATCATAATCATATTGCTGTAATAGTGAGTCTGTGGGGCGACAGGTTTGGCCACAGTTTAAAGTATAATCGGAGCATTTCTCCTCAACAACCAATTTCCCACAAATTGTGTGTGTCATTGTTGGTTTATTTCTTAATTGTTTTAGAAAATTTGCTTAATTGAAATTTGCTTAATTGGCGCATTGAAACCATTATTAATAAAATCAAAATCGGCAAAAAATGTCCATCCTGGTCAATTGGGATAAAATCTTCACATGGAAAATTTTAACTAAGATCCCACTTATCGCAATGTGAGATTTTACCTATGAACACAAATCATGAATTTTGTATATGTATAGGTAATAGTATAGTTTCGAGTGCAACATGAACGAGCGGAGTTTTTTGGGTTTTTTTTCAAATAGCACGAGAAACCACGTGTTATTACTCGTTAATAAATTAAGAAATTTAAAAAATAAAAATTAAGAAAATTAAGAAATTTGCACGGCGTTTCTTTTTTTCCACTGTATTTGATTTTTTGGCCCTGTTATTTGGCCCTGTATTTCGAAAAAATTGCACTGCTCTTAAGGTGGCTCAATACAGTTTTTAAAAAATGGAAAATTCACAATTTAGATGAGCATTTTTGGACAATTATTACTTGTTGATAAACAAAAAGTACCTTGCTTACATAGAACAACATCTAAAGAATTCTTGCACAAAGGTTACGCAACTGCCGTTGCCACGGCAACAATGACGTTTCAAGATGGCGGATATTTTGGCTTTAAAGTAATTATTTAACTCTTTTTTCATTATAGGCGGAATTTTGCGCGCGTAGCGGAATTTTTCTTTGTCTTGTGATTTCTCGGGTGGAACTAATTAGAAAAGACAAAGAAAAATTCCGCTCCGCGCGCAAAATTCCACTTAATGGAAAACTGGCCGTTTTCCACTAGGCGGAATTTTCTGCGCGGAGCGGAATTTTGCATCAGTCTTTCCTTATTAGTTCCACCCGAGAAATCACAAGACAAAGTGAAACTCCGCTCCGCGCGCAAAATTCCGCCTAATGGAAAACTGGCTTAAGCCAATCATGCAGAATTGTGAAATTTTTTCATGTATATTATTATATGCGTTAAGGCGGAAAAAGATTTCAGTTAGTTCCATCTGAGTGCTTGTAAGACAAAAGAAAATTTCGATTCGGTCGAAAAATTTCGCCCAGTGGAAAACCGCTTTAAATTAACAGAGAGCATGCTGCTGCAGGGAAGGGAAACTTCCCAACGAAGGGCCTTCGCTCGAAACGTCGACGTTTTACCTGTACTTTTCAGGTAGTTCAATCCCTTACAATCCGCAGCTCGTTAGTAAAACTTTATTAGTATAGTAAAACTTTATTTAACCACGCTTCCCTCATCACCCATTGATGATTTTCATGAGGGGCGTCACACAAATTACATTCTAAAAACTAATATAAATTAGATATGAAATAGAATAACATAGAATAACAAATACGTAGATAAAAAAGTTAAAAAAACAAAAACTATTCGATGCCTGACTCTGTATAGTCCGTGTGTTGTGACCTCGAAAAGTGCCTAGAAAACGATTTTCATTAAGCATGTCTTAGATCTGAAATATTTTTACGGGAACTAACACTTTCGAACACGCTGAGTTCAAATCCGAAAAGTATGGGGCGCCAAAGGTGACAAAATAAAAATGGTTCGTGATATAAAGTATACTAAAATTTACCCCTCTGATATAAGATATGATACGCGAGGTAGCTCGTGATATAAAGTATAACTTATGTACACATCAATATATAGGATATAACCTTAGTGACACAATATACAGAGTATACTTTAACTGTCCGCGATATAGGTTATAGAAATAGACTGGGGCGAGTTTTTAATTATTCATGTACTGCCATTTTAAAATTCACTTCCGGCTTTGAAATTTAATCAGGAAAATTAATCAGTAATAAATTAACGAAATGAGTTAACGCGGGAAATGTAGTAAATAGATTAGAAGATATTTTAGCATCATGGCGGAAAGAGAAATGGCGTTCAGTGGAGAAAGCTCGTCAACTTCGGCGCCCGTAACTGTTGATGATACTAATAATATGAGGACAAGTGTTAATAATGTGGTGAATCACCCACAATTTCGCTCACTTTTGAACGATGCAGTCGGAAGCCGGAAGTGAATTTTAAAATGGCACATGAATAATTAAAAACTCGCCCCAGTCTATTTCTATAACCTATATCGCGGACAGTTAAAGTATACTCTGTATATTGTGTCACTAAGGTTATATCCTATATATTGATGTGTACATAAGTTATACATTATATCACGAGCTACCTCAAGTATCATATCTTATATCAGAGGGGTAAATTTTAATATACTTTATATCACGAACCATTTTTATTTTGTCAGGTTTGGCGCCCCATAGAAAAGTTCCCACTCCGTAGACCCGCAGTTTTTTCACAAAATGCTATTTTATCTTCACTAATTTCACAACAAATTTTTTCATTGTTCAACATCACTGATCGATGACGATACACGATTATGTCACTCAAAAGGACCAATTTCTATTAACCATTCTTCCTTTTAACAAAAGACCGGTTTCGCTCGAATCATTTTGAGTTATGTAATCTTATGCGTGTTGGACGTAAACAACATATCTTGTCGACAACTTTGAGAAGGTACAGATAATTCCTTCTAATATCCTTAGTTCTGGATCTATTTCTATAAAATCACAAGGACGTTAATGTCAAGTCTTTGGGCTATGTCTCTGGGCTGAGAAATAATTCCTTACATGCGATCAAAATGTTTTATACAAAGATATAAAACGGTAATCTATATGTAATGGATCAACACTGAAATTTCCAACACGGTTTCCAAGACGTAATTCAAGACGTAATTCATTGCATTTGAACTATTACATCAGTTGGTGTTATGCTGTGCGATAAGCGAGTATTATTGGAAAGAGGGCTTCTATATACGTCGAAATCATCAAATAAACAGCTCAGGCACACATTTCTCCACTTCGCGGTAAGTTTGCAGAGCGTATTTTATACTTTGTGACTGATCTTTGTCTTTGATGTGAACATTTATTCTTATAGTTTAAGGTTATTTAAGATTGATCCTGTCGTAAGTCTTCTACCTGCAACCATTCGACAATATTTCGTTTTAGCGTTATCTTTGCCGTTACGTTGGCTTCGCGTTACTTTTGTTTTAAATATCTTGATCGCGTTAAAAGAGTTATTTTTCAGGCCAGTGACATAGCTAAAAGACTTGACATTAACGTCATTGTGATTTTATAGAGATATCTCTAGAACTGATGATTTTTGAAAGCGTTATCTGTACCTTCTCAAAGTTATAGACAAGATATGTTGTTTACGTCCAACACGCATAAGATTACATAACTCAAAATTATTCGAGCAAAACCGATCTTTTGTTAAAAGGAAGAATGGTTAATAGAAATTCGTCCTTTTGAGTGACATAATCGTGTATCGTCATCGATCCGTATCGTTGAACAATGAAAAAATTTGTTGTGAAATTAGCGAAGATAAAATAGCATTTTGTGAAAAAACTGCGGGTCTACGGAGTGGGAACTTTTCGGATTTGAACTCAGCGTGTTGGAAAGTGTTAGTTCCCGTAAAAATATTTCAGATCTAAGACATGCTTAATGAAAGTGAACGATATCGGGTCACAAAACACGGACTAGTAGCACACATTATTTTATCAAAATTTTGAAACTACTTAAAGATTCTGTTTGCTTTGCCTGCGTAGGTAAACTATTCCATAGAACAGCCCCGCTATATCCAAAACTCTTTTTTAAATATTCAGTACGTGGTTTAGGAACTGAAAGATTTATATCAGCATTTCTGAGATTATAATTAGTACTAAGATTTATGTCTCTTGTTACAAATTTATCCTTTAAGTTCGGAGCTGAGTGGTTGTTTAATATTTTAAACATCAAGACCGATTTATTCATTTTATGTCTGTCGTTCAGATTTTTCCATGACATAGCATGGAGCAAATCTGTCGACCTGACATCATAATTGGCACCTGTTAGATTCGTTGTTAATGATACGTAAAGAAATCGAATACCGAGCTTACCTTTCTCTACCAAACCAGCAAACCAATTAATTGAATCAAGACAGTCAAGTATCAAAATGTCATTTTAACAAGCCAAGCCATCATTTGGGTAGGTACAAGAAATTAAAACTGCAGAAAATATTGCGTTTAAGGCGCGCGAAAATAAACTGCGAATATTTAAGACTGAGTGAAAATTATTACCACGCGAATTTAGATACGGTGAAGGCGTGAAGAATGTAATACACTGAAGATTCAGGAAATCTGTTGAGACGTAATGCAACAGTCATGTAGAGTACATTTTTGAAAGATTTAAGCCAGGTTTTCTTATGGTCGTAACAGTCGTAAAGATAGCTATAGAGTCACGATCGTTCTAAACGGCCAGATTATAATAGCTTTACCTGAAAACCCCATATCATAAGTATTCCCTATTTATAACCACTCTGCCTATTCCCAGTTCTACACTGTTGTATTTCATCTGTTGAGAAATATCGTGACTCGATCTTTGCGACAGTTACGACCATGTGGAAACCAGGTTTAAAAATACAGATCCTAGAATCCATTAGGATTTTTTAGGATGCGTGACCGTTTTCTTAACGGTGTTATTTCCTTATTAACTAAATTAACTTATTGAATTTAGCTGTAATCCGTGAATCATGGGTTCTTGTATACATGAAGGCAGCGGGAGGTGCCATTCACATGCATTCGATGTATGCGATCACATTCGAGCTACTTGCAAGTAGTATACTTAACTATTGCTTAATAAAAGCAGAACTCAGCTGCAGTAAAGAGGATTGAAAGTATACTTTATTAATACACTGTTACGTTTGTCCAAATTTTAACTTACTTCTGTAAAACTCAGGATCCTTTTCAATTGATGGCAATAAAGTTGGTTTCGGTTTACTCTTTTGATTTCTCCAAAAAGGCTTGATCGTCTTGTGACGCGGGAGATTTGCTAGAATAACAACCAAGCACAACAAAAGCGACGTAGACATAATATAGGACATGGCTCTTTCGTAAACTGCTTGTATTAAGTCTTGAGCGCCAGACGGAAAACTGATGTATCTCTTGACATGTGGGGCTGTTTTATGTGGTCGCTTGTAGTTCCTGAAATTCCGAAGCAACAATATACTTCCTAGAAAAGTGTGGGAATTCAAGGTGGTATTATCAACCAATACCAAAAACTGAGCTGCTAATATATGGCTGTGGTCGAAACGTGGGCATTCACACAGTGCATGCAATTCCTTTCTTTGTTTAGGTTTTTTATTTGAAACTTGCTTTTATGCTTACAGGCCGAAACTATTTCCGATCTTTTATTTAAGAAAAATCGTTTTCCTTTTTCAATCATTAAACTTAAATTATATATTTTTTATTCTTCCGTGTAAGAAATTGCATGTTTTCAAACGAAAAGTTAGGCCTAGCTTTATATTCGCTGCGTGATCGAATTTGTTAGTCTGTTAGTTTGTTCGGAATCACAAGTCTACGTATTTATTCAAAAATAGTAAATCTTCGCGTTTCTGCATGGTGCAATTGTTTCACGCATGCTCCAGGGCACCGCCCCGCATGTCTGGTTAACCAAGTTATCTCGAAATCTTGTTTAATATATTCTTTTAATTTACAAATATATTTCGAAAATTTGGTATCGTTTGAGTAATTTTTGTTTTAAAAGGATGTGATGTCGATATTAATCTTTAAATTCGCTTGGTGTCATGCCAATGTATATACTTAACTGTTTCGTGTTACAAGCAACAAAAGTTCAGACTTCAGTATCATTTTAAAGCCGATTTAATGTCTGTGGTTTCGATATTGCATTCCAGAAATTACGGGCATAATATATTCTACTTCCATACTAATTAGGGACCAGTCATAAAGTATAGGGGGGGGGGGGGAGAAATCAAATCAACTGTATATTTTTCCTTGGCCCACCCCTGGAATAAGGCTTAATTATCAATGGCCCACCCTTAAAGTCATGCACAAAAATTAATGACCCACCCTTTGCTAAAAGACAACAACAGGCGGGAAACTCATGGATCACTTTCTATTGGTGATATTTTTACATGTTTCAAATTCAGTTTCATACATGATTTATTGCTTGGAAAACACCAAAACGTTACATACGGCTCTTTTAATAAAGTAGAATCCAACCCTACAGTGTGTAATCGTTAATTTAACCCTTACAGATCACTTATTATTGCCAAACGTCCCTATCCCTGTCATTTAAGCTCCCTTCACCATTTAGGATGCAATCATCTACAGTCATATGATCACACTACGATAGATAAACGACTCCACCCTTACCATCACAATCATTCAAACTCACTGTACTATTGAGTATGTTGAAATGCGTATACATGGGTTGCCTTTTCTACCCATTTTCAATCTCTCGCCTTTTATATCATGTCCCACAAAATATTTCACCTTTTTTAGTTCCTATATATAATCGTAGTTTCCATAGTTTACATTTATTGACATATATGTTCACCATAGGAGTCGGAGTACGAGGCTGTAGGAAGCTCGTTTTGATTGGGGGGCTGAATGCGAGGGCCGAAGGCCCGAGGAAATTTTTTAATTTAGAGTCTCTGAAATGCCATTTCCTGAACTTTGGGGAAGATTTCACAGAATTCTGATGGTCAGAAAACAGCGTTTTAATATGTCAAAATTTACAATTTAGTAGTACTAAATGGGCAAAGGTGTATTTAATTTATATTTAAACTATATTTTGGATAAGTTTCAGGAAAGTGTGGGTAATATCTTCATTCTTTGCAGTTTTGCATGGATTAAATGATAAAGGTCTGCATGATTTTGAAAAAAGAATGATTATTAGCAAATTATTGGGGCCCCCTGGTTGCTACGGCCCTGGGGTATATAACAACCATTTTGAATACTCGTCCTCTAATTACTTCCTTCATTAAAACTTACGAAAAAAGTTTAGTACACTGCGTTTATATATACATTAAAGTTTGTGTAATATGACTAAAAGTTTAGGTTGGTCATGCATTGTGTGAGCTTGAATAATCCTTAACAGTTAATCCATTGAGTAGCATTGTGCCCTGATGCACCCCACTTTATTATTTTACTGTCTAACGCCAGATTATTTTACTCTGTCTAACGCCAGACTATTTTTCTCATCAAGGGGAAAGTGTTGTCGCTTATGGGTTAATTAACAGTGTAAATTGAAACATATTCACACATGACCCACCCCTAATGTACTGCACAATTTTCTCTGGCCCACCCTTTTTTGCAAGCATGAAAATGGTGGCCCACCCCCCCCCCCCCTTTTTTCTCCAGCCCCACTATCACACTAAGAAACCAAAACTTTATAAAAATATAGAACTATCAGTAGCCAAAGTCCAAAACAAATGTAAGCGTAACATTAGACTTGAAAAAGCTTTAGAAATTCGACAAAAATTCGAAGACTCGAGCGAGTTTAAAATTTGTGTTCTGCGCATAGAAAGCGCGCACGACCACAATTCCATGCGCTAAATAAAATTTAGTTCAAAACCCCCTCTCTGCACATATTAGGTTGCTGCTCCGCGTTAATAAAGTGCATCGTTAATTTCCTATAATAAGGGTATATATATTATATATATATATATATATATATATATATATATATATATATATATATATATATATATATATATATATATATATATATATATATATATGACAATTATACCAATTTACATAGCACGTTAAATATATAACTGTAAAAGGTATATAATTTATTGCGTTATGCATGCGATGTTCTGAATCGCAACATGTGGGAATAAAGTAGATCGTTTCAACTTGCCTCACTGTCTGTCGAAGTATTTCATGTAATATTTGTAGCGTGATAATTAGAGATCTTGGGCGACTGTGGTTGTCCAATATGGCTGCTTGAATAAACAACATATTACAATATTAGACTTGATTTAGCAGTTCCTGCTTTTTCCAAGGAAGTGGTATATATTGTTATGTCTGTAATTTCGATCTGGCCTGTGCTCTTGAAAAGTACTTCATGCTGGCATGCCAATATAGTGCGGTTTCGTACTACAAGCAACACAAGTAGGTGCTTTATTCTACAATCCTGGTCAATAATATTGGCGCACTTGACACTGACTGTGCGAAATTTGACTCCCACTTCAATAACAAGCATAGCAACCCCCCTTTCCCCCGTTCAATGTTGTCTGTAGTGTGTTATACGTCCAAGGTGTTACACAACATTGATAAGGGGGATATGGGGTGTTTGGACATGAAATTTTGTATAAAATTGGCAAATATTTATATGGTAATCGGAAATGAAGTAAAGGTTATGCTATTTCGACTAAGTGCGCCAAGGATTATTGACCAGGATTGTCTGAATGTGCATTATCTTACATTTTTATTTTTATTTCATCACAATACATCGGCCTTAATTCTTGAATCGTTAGTGAACCTTTAATAATGTTTTGCGTATTAATAACGTGCGTCTAAATAAATAATAAACATTTATAATATAATAATAATAAAATATAATAATAATGACATATTAAAGTTCGCAATTTCAAACATATATTCTTTTTTAGAATTTTCACTTTAATCGTACTCAATCTAAGAACATTATGGGCGTGTGCACATTTTGAAAAATATGATCAGATGGAAACAAGTATTTAAGCCGTAATTTGGGGTCTTGTATATATTTCACAAGTTACATTTGACGACTGAATACCATGTGGACATTGCTTTGCTATAAGTTTGTTTTAGATTACAAGTTATAACTAAATCGCATTAGTCATTGACGTAATAAGCACTTACAACCTATAATGTTTCACGCCCAGATATGCATAACATAAAGTCATAGGTCCATACATTACTCCATCAAAAAATTCATTGTAAATCTATTAAATTTTAATATTTGCAAATAATATAACGATCTTTGATAATGATATTTAATGGTCAACGTATTTGCTTCGAAATAAATAAATTATAACTATATCTTGCATGATTTTGAACAGTGCTCCCCATTTTCCTAAAGAATTCAGTGAGATAGTCTAGGAATTTAAGCTAGGTTTGTGGAGTACTGTTCTTAATTTAGCAATAATGACCTAAATAAGATTTTATAATGAATAAATGCATTTATTCAAGTAATGCAAACCACTTTGTGTATCCGAAAACAAAAATTTCTGCATCCTTGGCAAATACTTAGGAAATATCAAGGGAACACTGTTTGTAATTTTGCGTTGCTGCACCATTGGAGTCACGCTGTGAAGACGTGTAATTGTACTTAGCATTTAATCTACTTGTTGACAGCAAGCTAATTGCCTATTTGCGAAAATGGCTACACCTATTTTGATCTATACTGCCCTTACTCTGCCTTGAATTACCATATATAACAGTAAAAGATAGAACTCCTAGTATTTTATGCGATTTCCTCTTGCTTTAAGAACAGCATCTACTCGACTTGACAGGCTTGAAATAGTACGATCGATTACATCGGTTGACAGATTTTCCAAGGATTTTAAAACCCGCGCTGAAAAGTCTTGGAACGTTTCTTACGTTATATTATTAGCAATTGCTTCATTCTCGAGACTTTTCTTTACCAAGTGAAAGACATTTTCAGTCGGGTTCAGGTCAGGCGATCTAGCCGGAATCTTGTGAAACTTCAGCCTCGATTTTTTCCATTGCTTTTCGCGCTGCTTTACTCGTTTGTAAATGGTCATTATCCATGAGAAACAGGCGACGATCGTTTTTTTTACGTCCGCACTTTGCAAAACAAGTATTAAAATGCTTTCCAATGAACTCTGCAAAGAAATTGCCATTCATTTTCTTATAGGGAACTTTGAGATCCACACCTTTCCAATCCTTTCAAAATAGCGACAATTACGATCGCTCGTCAACTTTTCTTGGGCGACTTGTTGCCTTTTAACTGTTTAGATCTCAGCGCAGTTGGTTGTTGGTCTTCCCTCTATGTTCTTGCTACTGATGAAGGGCTTATATGACATTTTCTCGCGATCTCACTATTCGAAAAACCCGATTCCTTTCTATAATAAAATACCAAAGCCCTTGTCTTTGCTATGATTTTTCTTGTGTAAATCATCCTTAAATGAATCTAATTACCGAAATGCATATTATTCAATTTTATTTTCTAGTCAGCCTCACTTAATATACGCGTACGGGATTATCATGATTCATAGTAACACCCCGCACATATGACGTCATAATTATCAACATTACGACGCGCACGCTAGGTTTTCAATAACTCCCAACGAAATCATCTAGGACACGCCTCCCAATATACGTGGAAAACACGTAAATAATGCTTCGGTACATTCTGAGTCAAAATTATATATGTACATAAATTTTAGTTTCATTTTTATATTCGGACAGTCTGAATGTGCATTATCTTACATTTTAATTTTTATTTCATCACAATACATCGGCGTTAATTCTTGAACCGTTAGTGGACCTTTAATAATGTTTTGCGTATTAATAACGTGCGTCTAAATAAATAATAAACATTTATAATATAATAATAATAAAATACAATAATAATGACATATTAAAGTTCGCTATTTCAAACATATATCCTTTTCAAGAATTTTCACTTTAATCGTACTCAATCTAACAACATTATGGGCGTGTGCACATTTTGAAAAATATAATGAGATGGAAACAAGTATTTAAGCCGTAATTTGTGGTCTTGTATATATTTCACAAGTTACATTTGACGACTGAATACCATGTGGACATTGCTTTGCTAAGTTTGTTTTAGATTACAAGTTATAACTAAATCGCATTAGTCATTGACGTAATAAGCACTTACAACCTATAATGTTTCACGCCAAGATATGCATAACATAAAGTCATAGGTCCATACATTACTCCATCAAAAAATTTATTGTAAATCTATTAAATTTTAATATTTGCAAATAATATAACGATCTTTGATAATGATATTTAATGGTCAACGTATTTGCTTCGAAATAAATAAATTATAACTATATATTGCATGATTTTGAACAGTGTTCCCCATTTTCCTAAAGAATTCAGTGAGATAGTCTAGGAATTTAAGCTAGGTTTGTGGAGTACTGTTCTTAATTTAGCAATAATGACCTAAATAAGATTTTATAATCAATAAATGCATTTATTCAAGTAATGCAAACCACTTTGTGTATCCGAAAACAAAAATTTCTGCATCCTTGGCAAATACTTAGGAAATATCAAGGGAACACTGTTTGTAATTTTGCGTTGCTGCACCATTGGAGTCACGCTGTGAAGACGTGTAATTGTACTTAGCATTTAATCTACTTGTTGACAGCAAGATAATTGTCTATTTGCGAAAATAGCTACCCCTATTTTGATCAATACTGCCCTCACTCTGCCTTGAATTACTATATATAACAGTAAAAGATAGAACTCCTAGTATTTTATGCGATTTCCTCCTGCTTTTCCTCTTGCTTTAAGAACAGCATCTACTCGACTTGACAGGCTTGAAATAGTACCATCGATTACATCGGTTGACAGACTTTACAAGGGTTTTAAAACCCGCGCTGAAAAGTCTTGGAAAGTTTCGTACGTTATATTATCAGCAATTGCTTCATTCTCGAGACTTTTCTTTACCAGGTGAAAGACATTTTCATTCGGCTTCAGGTCAGGCGATGTAGCCGAAATCTGGTGAAATTCAGCCTCGATTTTTTCCATTGCTTTTCGCGCTGCTTTACTCGTTTGTGATTGGTCATTATCCATGAGAAACAGGCGACGATCTTTTTTTACATCCGCACTTTGCAAAACAAGGGTTAAAATGCTTTCCAATGAACTCTTCAAAGAAATTGCCATTCATTTTCTCATAAGGAACTTTGGGAACCACACCTTTCCCATCCTTTCAAAATAGCGAGAATTACGATCGCTCGTCAACTTTTCTTGGGAGACTTGTTGCCTTTTAACTGTTTAGATCTCCGCGCAGCTGGTTGTTGGGCTTCCCTCTATATTCTTGCTACTAATAAAGGGCTTACATGACATTTTCTCGCGGTCTCCCTATTCGAAAAATCCGATTCCTTTCTATAATAAAGTACCAAAGCCCTTGTCTTTCCTGTGATTTTTTTTGTGTAAATCATCCTTAAATGAATCTAATTCTCGAAATGCGTATTATTCAATTTTATTTTCTATCCAGCCTCACTTAAGATACGCGTACGGGATTATCATGATTCATAGTAACACCCACCCACATATGACGTCATAATTATCAACATTACGACGCGCACGCTAGGTTTTCAATAACTCCCAACGAAATCATCTAGAACACGCCTCCCAATATACGTAGAAAACACGTAAATAATGCTTCGGTACATTCTGAGTCAACATTATACATGTACATAAATTTTAGTTTCATCTTTATATTCGGACAGTCTGAATATGCATTATCTTACATTTTTATTTTTATTTCATCACAATACATCGGCCTTAATTCTTGAATCGTTAGTGAACCTTTAATAATGTTTTGCGTATTAATAACGTGCGTCTAAATAAATAATAAACATTTATAATATAATAATAATAAAATATAATAATAATGACATATTAAAGTTCGCAATTTCAAACATATATCCTTTTTTAGAATTTTCACTTTAATCGTACTCAATCTAAGAACATTATGGGCGTGTGCACATTTTGAAAAATATGATCAGATGGAAACAAGTATTTAAGCCGTAATTTGGGGTCTTGTATATATTTCACAAGTTACATTTGACGACTGAATACCATGTGGACATTGCTTTGCTAAGTTTGTTTTAGATTACAAGTTATAACTAAATCGCATTAGTCATTGACGTAATAAGCACTTACAACCTATAATGTTTCACGCCCAGATATGCATAACATAAAGTCATAGGTCCATACATTACTCCATCAAAAAATTCATTGTAAATCTATTAAATTTTAAAATTTGCAAATAATATAACCATCTTTGATAATGATATTTAATGATCAACTTATTTGCTTCGAAATAAATAAATTATAACTATATTGCATGATTTTGAACAGTGCTCCCCATTTTCCTAAATAATTCAGTGAGATAGTCCAGGAATTTAAGCTAGGTTTGTGGAGTACTGTTCTTAATTTAGCAATAATGACCCAAATAAGATTTTATAATGAATAAATGCATTTATTCAAGTAATGCAAACCAATTTGTGTATCCGAAAACAAAAATGTCTGCATCCTTAGCAAATACTTAGGCAATATCAAGGGAACACTGTTTGTAATTTTGCGTTGCTGCACCATTGGAGTCACGCTATGAAGACGTGTAATTGTACTTAGCATTTAATCTACTTGTTGACAGCAAGCTAATTGCCTATTTGCGAAAATGGCTACACCTATTTTGACCTATACTGCCCTTACTCTGCCTTGAATTACCATATATAACAGTAAAAGATACAACTCTTAGTATTTTATGCGATTTCCTCTTGCTTTAAGAACAGCATCTACTCGACTTGACAGGCTTGAAATAGTACGATCGATTACATCGGTTGACAGATTTCCCAAGGATTTTAAAACCCGCGCTGAAAAGTCTTGGAACGTTTCTTACGTTATATTATTAGCAATTGCTTCATTCTCGAGACTTTTCTTTACCAAGTGAAAGACATTTTCAATCGGCTTCAGGTCAGGCGATCTAGCCGGAATCTTGTGAAATTCAGCCTAGATTTTTTCCATTGCTTTTCGCGCTGCTTTACTCGTTTGTAATTGGTCATTATCCATGAGAAACAGGCGACGATCGTTTTTTTTACGTCCGCACTTTGCAAAACAAGTATTAAAATGCTTTCCAATGAACTCTGCAAAGAAATTGCCATTCGTTTTCTTATAGGGAATTTTGAGATCCACACCATTCCAATCCTTTCAAAATAGGGACAATTACGATCGCTCGTCAACTTTTCTTGGGCGACTTGTTGCCTTTTAACTGTTTAGATCTCAGCGCAGCTGGTTGTTGGTCTTCCCTCTATATTCTTGCTACTGATGAAGGGCTTATATGACATTTTCTCGCGATCTCCCTATTCGAAAACCCGATTCCTTTCTATAATAAAGTACCAAAGCCCTTGTCTTTGCTATGATTTTTCTTGTGTAAATCATCCTTAAATGAATCTAATTATCGAAATGCATGTTATTCAATTTTATTTTCTAGTCAGCCTCACTTAATAAAACGCGTACGGGATTATCATGATTCATAGTAACACCCCCCACATATGACGTCATAATTATCAACATTACGACGCGCACGCTAGGTTTTCAATAACTCCCAACGAAATCATCTAGAACACGCCTCCCAATATACGTAGAAAACACGTAAATAATGCTTCGGTACATTCTGAGTCAAAATTATATATGTACATAAATTTTAGTTTCATCTTTATATTCGGACAATCCTGGTCAATAATATTGGCGCACTTGACACTGACTGTGCGAAATTTGACTCCCACTTCAATAACAAGCATAGCAACCCCCCTTTCCCCCGTTCAATGTTGTCTGTAGTGTGTTACATGTCCAAAGTGTTACACAACATTGATAAGGGGGATAGGGGGTGTTTGGACATGAAATTTTGTATAAAATTGGCGAATATTTATATGGTAATCAGAAATGAAGTAAAGGTTATGCTATTTCAACTAAGTGCGCCAAGGATTATTGACCAGGATTGTAGGTTTATTAAAACACGGTAAATTGTATTAGTTCTAATGTTCGACCGATTAGGTTCGATTTACTTTACTTATTCATCATGACTTATACATTATTATATATTATTGTTAATTACTTTGTTTTTGTAATAATTTTCTCGCAATGGGTTCTTGCGTCATTGACAGCTCGCTGTACATCAGGTTTCATTGCATCCTATCAAAAATAGAAAACCACGAAGGATGGTTTTAACAATTTGCGATTTTGCAAAAGTACATTAACCACCTTATTAAATATTTACCCCGACTATAAGATTTAGTAGGTGCACAAAACAGCCCGCAGATCCTACATGCATGGGAGGTAGAGTGGGAAAACGATCTTCATCGTCATCATCATCGGATTCCTCAATTTCCTCACGAACATCGTCTGACGCTTCAAGACGCACATCGCTGTCCAGGGCAAGTGTAACGTTGGCAGCGTTATCTGAAACTCCAATGTGGAATTTCCCTTCTGCACCTATCCAGTTGTTTTGCACCACCTGCAACTAAATGTCAAATTAATTACAGATTTAGAGTATTGCTATTAGCAAATAAACAAAGTTCACTGAAAATGGGTTTCACTTACCGACTTTCTTATGTTGTAGGAATGCGCACTAGTTAAAAATTCTTCGACTACCAAAAGAGCATTTTTAACTTCATAGGCTGTTGAGTCCAAGTTTTCCACCACCCAGTGAGCCGTCACCGTCATATACTCACGGTTTTGACCTCCGCATTTCCACATGTCCGTGGTGAAGTTGATCCCGCTTTTGGACGACTGGATTGACTTCTTGATTTTCGCTTCCGAATCGGTATAAATTTCTGGGACGACTACGTTCGTCAGCTCCTTTCTTGAAACGACAGAATATCGCGGCTCCAGTACTCGCATAAGCTCGCGAAACCCTTCATTCTCTACAACCAAATATGGTCGTAGATCAATCACTACCATCTTGCCAATAGCATTGGTGATCGCTTTAGCTTTAACGCTTCCTTTTTGTAACGGTGTGTTGCGAGAGAACGTTTCCTGGATACTCAGCTGTGTTGTCGAGCTAGTCGAGGAAGACTCAGATGGGCTACAAAGTTTTAGATGCGCCCATAAAGATCCATTTCCCCACGACTTCGACTTTGCAGTAGAACTTCCGCGACTGACAACTTTCCGACACTTTCTACAAGTAGGCTTTGAAGCATCGATTTTATTTTTTGTAAAGCTATCCCAGATGCTTGACGGCAAATTACTGATGCGTTTTCTCTTCTCAGCAGTCGCCATATATTTGTCTTCTTCTCGCGGAGCTTTCGTTTTATTACGCCAAACACGGCAAAGAAACCAGACGAAATCAGACACGATTCTTTGTGAACAATTCTATTTAGCTACATTTAAAGGTTTCCCATTGGCCCCGTTTAGACTATACTGCGGATTCAGGTTGAGTGTTTAATTTGAATATTTATCGCGTTCATTTCAACACGTTGCATAATGACGTTTCTAGGCAGGTTGATTGACGTTGCTACAGTGTCGTTTGTACAATAACAACCTAATTATCACCATAATTAATCACCATAATAACGTACTGCTTACGCGCATCTTTTAGAACTTGACAACAGTTCTCATATTTGTAGTTTATAGGATGCATGTTTATGTTGTAAACAATCATTGATAATTGTAAGCACTGTTCTCCCGTTAATACCAGCAGCATTACTGATGGGATTTTAACAGTTTAAATAAAGTATTATTATTATTATTATAATTAGGTTGTTATTGTACAAACGACACTGTAGCAACGTCAATCAACCTGCCTAGAAACGTCATTATGCAACGTGTTGAAATGAACGCAATTAATATTCAAATAATAAGTTTTAAGGAAAATAATTTTATTATAGGTACAAGTATATATGTTCATAAAGGAGATTTATCGTCCTATATATATATATATATATATATATATATGTTCAATTGTTATTGAAACTTGCTTGTCGCACTGGCAATTTCAATGTTGCCTGGGTCAAGTTCAATCTTTTTTCGTAGTGATTTAGGGCCACGAACACACAAGATGGCAGAACGTACTAGGGCAAAAGATAGTTTTAAACACTCAACCTGAATCCGCAGTATCGGATTACATCGAAGGGAAGCGTTTTTTTATACCGGATTGGGATGTTGTTTACACTACACCATAGTAATCCGGTACGTGATACGGAGCAAAAATCATTCCCCTTTGGAGGTGATATGAAAAGTGATCTGGTACAGTGTAAACGGGGCCTTCGTCTGGCTTCTTTGCCGTCTGCAATAAAACGAAATAAACGAAATTTTGTATTTCGAATAAAACGAAGTTTGTAATAAAAAGTCAAGAAAAAGGTGTTAGACTTTTCACTTCTTCAAACGCAGCGTCTGATAAAATTCTCAGACTGTCAATCATAAATTAGAACGCGCTCTAGCGTCATGCTGTCGTACATAGAATACTATATTTACATGCGAGTTTTTACTTTTTTTTCGATAATAGTCGTGTGTTGTTCAGAATATTTGTTGGTCGGACATTTATCAAATTTAGTCGGACATTTACCGATGTCCGACAGTAGTTTGCAGCACAAAATCCAAAAAATAAGTGCTGCCGGAGTTTTGCCGGAGCTTTGCCGGAGCTGAACAAACTCCGGCTCCGGCAAATAGGCCAAAACTCTGGCTCCGGCACTCCGGCTCCGGTGCACAGCACTACTATAGACAGATACTTACTCTCAAACTTTTGCCCTGGAAAAATAATTTCATGAAGTCCCTCCATTCCCAACTTCTTCTTCGCTTTGAAACTTTCAAAGCCTTTTTCCTGAAGCTGAAATGGAAAAAAGAAACGAAAATTAGTTGTCCAATTATCCCTTCTCATGGGGGCAAGATTAGGTAAACGGTATTATTATATATCAATAGTCAAAGTCGCTTTTTTCTTGTGTTTTATTGGTCGAGAGCATATCACGTGAGAGTGACGAAATTAGGCTGTCTTCCTCACAACAGCGAGAGAGGGAGACGATACATTATCGACCGGTGCGCCATCACGTGAAGATGCGACCTTTGGACATGCCTAAAAGCATGTGATTTGTTAGCTATTTAAGCAAATGTGTTTATTAAATTTAACGTTTTAACAATAAGATATTTCATGTATTTACATTCATTTGTTTTTAATTTGTTGTTTCATAATAAAACACTTATTTACTGAGACCTCGGGGAAAGCAGTGTGTTTTGTGGACCCTCGACCGTCGATGTTTCCCTCGGCTTCGTCCACAAAACACACTTTTTCCCTCAGTCTCAGTAAATAAGTGATAATTACCGCGTTAAAAGCTAGTATCGTAATTACAAATGGCAAATGATTAATTATTGCATGTGAATTCATTTCACCGTACTTAATGCATGCAAGTACAATGTTCTGTAAGTCACAGAATAGGCACATCACAAACTTTATATGATCATGGAAAGAGGGTGCTGAAGGGGGGGTCCCAATCCCATTTCCCACCTGAAATTTTGGCAAAATCCCAGTCCCAGTTGGATTCTTATTAGAAATCCCAGCCCCAGTTATTGAAATCCCAGTCAATAAAAAACCCTTTATTTATCGGTAGAATAAACAGTTTTAAGACCTTTTAAGCAAGTGGCGGACACTTTATGAAATATGAGTGGGTGCTCGTGCCGAAAGCACAGAAAATTTTTTAATTTGAATCCAGGAAATGGCATTTGCAGCATTCTGAGACACGCATAATCAGAAAACCCAGAATTCCGGGCGCCAGAGTATGCCTGTTCACAGGTAGTGCTGTGAATAATATAGTTCACAACAAAAATCATGACCGAAGACACCAAAAACGGATCAAAATTGTATTTTAGAATACTCAAAACGCAGAAAAATTGGGCATCGACACGCATTACCTCAATCCCATTCCCGTTTTTGAGGACTTCATTTCCCATTCTCGGTGGCCAAATCCCAGTCCCAGCAACCCAAATCCCATTTTCCCAGTCTAAAAATAGATCAATCCCAGTTCCCATTTTACCCCTTCAGGGCCCTCTGGAAATTCTAAAATGTATTACCTCGCATAATCTTATTCTCACGCTAACTGGTTGTAATTTGATACAAACGTGCCCGCAGTGTTGGCTCCTGCTGTTGCAGTTACCGGGCTTTGTATAAAGTCCAAGAATTTACTAACTCACTTTCAAACAAAGTTTAAAAGTGTCTCCCAGACGAGGACGAGCATACATATATCCCCTGGACACACCATGTCGTAACATGTTATCAACCAAAAGAGGAAAGTCTGACGAAAACCCTCCATGGGCAAGCAAAACTGAGATTAAAATTAATGATTATGCTTCTAAAATCATGGCAATATACTCGTCCCAAGTTCGCGAATCCATCGGAAATTGCTCATATTTTTCGTTACATTACTTTTTAGCTAATTGGACAACTAAGACGAAGTCTTACCAGACGAGAAACGGCTAAAAATTATGAGCCTGCTGTTTAACAAGATTGAACAATATCTTGCTGCCCACGTTGTTCACAGTTATAACCAAGGAAGGAGACGGTCCCAAGAGCTACATCACATGCTGGTGTGGTGAAAGTAATTGAGTTAAGGTGGTTAAGTGCTGAGCGGCCAAATAATGAATCATTGCACGCACTTTAATCTATGCTTGGGCTATATCCTTCCAACTTACTTTGATCAATCGTCCAAATAAGTTGTTACGCAGAATTGCACTACAAAACTCAATTTGGGAGAGTTGTTCCCAAAGGGGCCACCAAATATTTTTTGCATAGCTTTAGCGTCTCCCAAAGCCTGGGACAATCTAAATTATTTCATTGCGAAAGTGCGCATTAATGCGAAAGTGCGCATTAATGAATCTTGAGTAATATATTTCAGTAGTTTTATGCGCTCACAATCCATAGACAGATACATACCCTCCATTCCCAACCTCTTCTTCTCTTTGAAACTTTCAAAGCCTTTTTCCTGAAGCTGAAATAAAAAAAAAAGAAAATTAGTTTTATTTTACTTTACAGATTTTGCCATTTAACACAAACTATTACACAAAATTAGTTACACAATAGATTACATGCCTGGACTTACCACACAGAGATTAGTTTTCCAATAACGGGGTTCCAACTCATTCGAAATACACAGTATGAACAATAACAGGCTTGCAGATCGACAAACAAACTGGAACCAGTGAAAGGATGCGAAAGTGCGCATTTATGAATCTTGAGTAATATATTTTGGTAGTTTTATGCACTCACATTCCATAGACAGATACCTACCCTCCATTCCCAACCTCTTCTTCCCTTTGAAACTTTCAAAGCCTTTTTCCTGAAGCTGAAATAAAAAAAAAACGAAAGTTAGTTTTATTTTATTTTACTTTACAGATTTTGCCATTTAACACAAACTATTACACAAAATTAGTTACACAATAGATTACATGGCTGGACTTACCACACAGAGATTAGTTCTCCAATAATGGGGTTCCAAGTCATTCGAAATACACAGTATGAACAATAACAGGCTTGCAGATCGACAAATAAACTGGAAGCAGTGAAAGGATGCAAAAGTGTGCATTAATGAATCTTGAGTAATATATTTCGGTAGTTTTATGCGCTCACATTCCATAGACAGATACCTACCCTCCATTCCCAACCTCTTCTTCCCTTTGAAACTTTCAAAGCCTTTTTCCTGAAGCTGAACGGGGTTCCAAGTCATTCGAAATACACAGTATGAACAATAACAGGCTTGCAGATCGACAAACAAACAGACAGACGTGAAGATCAACAAACAAGCACAACAAAATTACAATCAACGACTTACAATTTATGTGGCAATAAATTTAACAACATGTTCGATTCGACAAGTTAGTCAGTGGGCTAGTTGTATGACACTTCACACAAACAGACTTAAATGTTCTTGGATCCTTAGGATTATAAATTTCCTTGGTGAGATCCTTATAATGTTGCATTAAACAAAATTTGAAAAAAAAATTATAAATAAAAAAGGCGAAAAAAAAGGCGCTCTCCAGTGAATATAAATTTATTAACATGAACCTTATACTATTTACATTTCCCATGAACCATTTACTATTTACCTTAAGTTATTCTATAGAGTTTATAAGTTCAGTCTAATAAGTTCGGCTTCTTCCTTTGTAGGTTTCTCCACTCTGTTCTTCAGCCGTTCGCTAGTCGAGTTTACCTCTGGGTATCACATGGTGAACAATCTATGCACCTCTTGCCAACTGACGTGACGGTTTTCTATGTTGGAATGATTGTTTCATGCTAGTATCACCAGAGCATGGTTTAGGTTGGTTGGTGGTGGTCTTGGTCTTGCTGGAGGTTTGTTTTCAGCGGGTGGCTGCTCATCCTCATCACTGTCTAGGTTTATCATCACTTGGGGAGGTCGTCGAGGTGGTAGTTCTTGTAGTGGAATGGGTGCTGCAGGGTTGCGATCTAGCCGCCAATATGCTCCAAGTGTGCGATCAGACCGGTACCCTGCATGCCTATATCCCAACAGGAGTTTCAAGTCGCCAAGGATGGCCTTTTCTAGGAGGGTGAGCTCCCCTTTCTCGCCAATTGAAATGCCAACCGGTAGCCCTGTCTCTTTGGCCAGTTGAAACAATTCTCGGATTGCGGTTGGAATGCTCCCTGCAGGTGACGTATCTGCCATACATATTGATGTAAGCAAAAAAAAAGTCACCAATAAAATATTTCATGTATTTACATTCATTTGGTTTTAATTTGTTGTTTCATAATAAAACACTTATTTACTGAGACCTCGGGGAAAGCAGTGTGTTTTGTGGACCCTCGACCATCAGTGTTTGCCTCGGCTTTGTCCACAAAACACACTGTTTACCTCAGTCTCAGTAAATAAGTGATAAGTACCGCGTTAAAAGCTAGTATCGTAATTACAAATGACAAATGATTAATTATTACATGTGAATTCATTTCGCCGTACTTAATGCATGCAAGTACAATGTTCTGTAAGTCACGGAATAGGCAGATCACACTTTATACGATCCTGGAAATTCTAATTCTGTAAATTCTAATTCTGTAAATTGAAATTCTAAAATGTAATACCTCGCGTAATCTTACTCTCACGGTAACTGTTTGTGATTTGATACAAACGTGCCTGCAGTTTGGCTCCTGCTGTTGCAGTTACCAGGCTTTGTATAAAGTCCAAGAATTTACTAACTCACCTTCAAACAAAGTTAAAAAGTGTCTCCCAGACGAAGAGGAGCATACATATATCCCCTGGACACACCATGTTGTAACATGTTATCAACCAAAAGAGGAAAGTCTGACGAAAACCCTCCATGGGCAAGCAAAACTGAGATTAAAATTAATGATTATGCTTCTAAAATCATGGCAATATACTCGTCCCAAGTTCGCGAATCCATCGGAAATTGCTCGTATTTTTCGTTACATTACTTTTTAGCTAATTGGACAACTAAGACGAGGTCTTACCAGACGAGAAACGGCTAAAAATTATGAGGCTGCTGTTTAACAAGATTGAACAATATCTTGCTGCCCACGTTGTTCACAGTTATAACCAAAGAAGGAGACGGTCCCAAGAGCTACATCACATGCTGGTGTGGTGAAAGTAATTGAGTTAAGGTGGTTAAGTGCTGAGCGGCCAAATAATGAATCATTGCATGCACTTTAATCTATGCTTGGGCTATATCCTTCCAACTTACTTTGATCAATCGTCCAAATAAGTTGTTACGCAGAATTGCACTATAAAACTCAATTTGGGAGAGTTGTTCCCAAAGGGGACCACCAACTATTTTTTGCATAGCTTTAGCGTCTCCCAAAGCCTGTGACAATCTAAATTATTTCACAAGTTGGAACCAGTGAAAGGATGCAAAATTGCGCATTAATGAATCTTGAGTAATATATTCCGGTAGTTTTATGCGCTCACATTCCATAGACAGATACCTACCCTCCATTCTCAACCTCTTCTTCCCTTTGAAACTTTCAAAGCCTTTTTCCTGAAGCTGAAATAAAAAAAAAAACAAAATTAGTTTTATTTTATTTTACTTTACTGATTTTGCCATTTAACACAAACTATTACACAAAATTAGTTACACAATAGATTACATGGCTGGACTTACCACACAGAGATTAGTTCTCCAATAACGGGGTTTCAAGTCATTTGAAATACACAGTATGAACAATAACAGGCTTGCAGATCGACAAACAAACAGACAGACGTGAAGATCAACAAACAAGCACAACAAAATTACAATCAACAACTTACAATTTATGTGACAATAAATTTAACAACATGTTCGATTCGACAAGTTCGATTTCGTCAGGGGGCGAGTTGTATGACACTTCACACAAACAGACTTAAATGTTCTCGGATCCTTAGGATTATAAATTTCCCTGGTGAGATCCTTATAATATTGCATTAAACAAAATTTGGAGAAAAAAAATTATAAATAAGAAAGGTGAAAAAAAAGGTGCTCTCCAGTGAATATAAATTTATTAACATGAAACCTTATACTATTTACATTTCCCATGAACCATTTACTATTTACATTAAGTTATTCTATAGAGTTTATAAGTTCGGGTTCTTCCTTTGTAGGTTTCTCACTCTGTTCTTCAGCCGTTCGCTAGTCGAGTTTACCTCTGGGTATCACATGGTGAACAATCTATGCACCTCTATCCAACTGACGTGACGGTTTTTATGTCGGAACGATTGTTTCATGCTAGTATCACCAGAGCATGGTTTAGGTTGGTTGGTGGTGGTCTTGGTCTTGCTGGAGGTTCGTTTTCAGCGGGTGGCTGCTCATCCTCATCACTGTCTAGGTTTATCATCACTTGGGGAGGTCGTCGAGGTGGTGGTTCTTGTGGTGGAATGGGTGCTGCAGGGTTGCGATCTAGCCGCCAATATGCTCCAAGTGTGCGATTAGACCGGTACCTTGCATGCCTATATCCCAACAGGAGTTTCAAGTCGCCAAGGATGGCCTTTTCTCTGAGGGTGAGTTCCCCTTTCTTGCCAATTGGAATTCCAACCGGTAGCCCTGTCTCTTTGGCCAGTTGAAACAATTCTCGGATTGTGGTTGGAATGCTCCCTGCAGGTGACGTATCTTCCATAGATATTGGTGTAAGCAAAACAAAGTCACCAAACTGAATTCGTATATAGAAGTCACCGAACTGAAAGAAACATTTTGGTTTCAGGGGGACTTATGAGGGATAACAGGTGATTTACCGATTTGATTTTTTTTTACTTGTCCAATTGGCCTTTCTCAAGGGGGCAAGATTAGGGTAAATGGTATTACCATGTTAAAAGCTAGTATCGTAATTACAAATGATTAATTTTTGCATGTGAATTCATTTCCGCAAGTTCTCAATGCCTCGAACGTCTGATGATGTTTCTCAATATGCTTTATTGCAGCTTGTGCAGTCTTCTTCGGCATTACCCCCATACCACCTGAGCATGTTATTGTCATGTTTTCCTTGAGAAAAAGCGTTTTTCGAAGCCCCCTCCAGGACAGTTCACCTGAATGTTTGCACCTAAATTTTCCTTCGAAAACTGATATAAACACTGCCATTTTGAAATGAAAATAGCATTACTCACAGCATGCCACCCTTGCATAATTTTTCCTCTGCTTCGCCAAAAGGGAGTCAGTCTTAGTGACTATTTCCCCTCACATGAAACAAAACTTTTTAAATGGAGGAGAGACATGATATTCTAAAAGACACAAAGAAAGGAAAATTATTTTGATCTGAATGAATATTATTTTGATCTGAATGAAAATTATTTTCATCTGAATGTATCTTTGCATGGGAATCTTTAGCCTGAGTATCAGGCTTTATTGATCCTAGGGATAAAGCCTGACACAGAAACTATAATTTCCGTTGACTAATGAAAAAAACAACAAATAAAAAAGATCAAAATATATACAGACAGTCACAAGCATATCCTACATACAATCGAAATGTTTCATGCCCCAAGACCTCTCTTAAAGACCTCTATTAATAGTTGCTATAGTAGTAAGAGGAACAAAGTATTCGATAAAAAAGTGGGGGGTGGGAATTTTTTTTTTACTATAAAATAGTATTACGAAAAAGTGCATTGTCAGCGAAAAAGAGTGAAAAAGTGTGTCCACGGACGGGGGGGGGTTTTGGGCTCACCATGACGTCCCCAAAAGGCACGCGCGGTGTCGCAACAATAATGCGCGGGTTGCGCAACATTAAAGGAGGAGATGTGTCGCCGAAGGCCTGGTCGACCGAAGTGAGGCCATTTGAATTTGGCGGGGATTTTATGGGCAGTGTCACGTGACGCGTATGACGTACTTCCGGTGACGTACATCCGGTGCGCCTGTTTTTTGAGCGTGCGGGTGGCGTGCGGGCTGGCGTGCGTATAGGCTGTTAATAATTAACGGAGACGGTTGAAAATTGTGTTTTTTCAATTTATTTACTAAAAAATATTTATTAAATTTACATTTTTCACATATTATTTACATTATTTTAAAAGTTTTGTATTTCTTGTAGGTTGGCAAGCACATTTTGTTACATATAATTGAGTATTTTTAGGTTATGTCTTTGTTTCTTTATTTTTCCAAATGCTTTTACTTTTTCCTCTGCAATATATTCAAGCGGCGCATAGTGTTTTATTGCAAAACATTTAATGTCCTTGTCATGCTTGGTTAACAGCTTTGCCTTTTTTCGAAATTGCCCGTTTCCCGAAAATAGTGCTACTTGAATTGACAATGCATCATCGGCACCGTCATCGTTTTCGCCACTTTTCGCGTCGCGTAGCAACGCCAAATCTTTAGTGGGTCTTCCGGGTCCAGGCCCTTCAGTGTTAGTGGTGGGTCTCTTTCGTTTTCGAGGCGGGGGTATCGGTTTACATTGTTTTGGTTTTACCGTGGTGGTGGTCTCTTTCTCGTTGTATATGGCCTTCAATTGCTCGATATTTTTTCCGCAGCTTGGAGATCTTTCATAATTTGGGGTATGTGGCGCTTTTTCTTCGTCTTCGGATGAGGATGATGCTGTTGTTAGGAGGTTTTGTTCGGGAATTGGTTGTGTAGCTTCGTTTACTATTTCAATAATTTCGCCCATGTTATTTTCCATAGTGAGCGGTTTAATTTCTGTACTCAAGCTGTTGGCGTTGTAAATGTCCTGTGTTGGATCATTTGTGGGTTGTGGCGACACTGTAGTAGTAGTGGCGGTAGTAATAGTAGTAGTAGTAATTTCATTTTTTAGGTTAAAAGTCTGAAATAGTTCAATATCGTTTTCGCCGCATAAGCTCGTTAAATCGTCGGTAGTTGGTTTCTTGAGGCTTTCAAACGAGGGTCCGTTGGTGGTGTAGGGGCGGCAAAAAGGTTAGCGTTGGTGATTTTTTCCTGTTCGAGGTTATATTGATTGTACAACTGCTTCCAGAAGATAAATTTTTTTGCGAAATTACAGCATCCAATAGGTGGCTGATATTGGGTGAAATTTACGTATAAATTTGTTAAAATGGTCGTATTTTTGTCTGATAAAGTGCACTGCATGTAGTTTACGAACTGCATAAACTCGGACGTTGCGGACATCTTGAAGGTGTTGGCGTAAATAACGCTTGCGTGCTGTAAATCTTTAGTATACTATTATTTTTTTTGGGTGGTGCAATGTAATTTTCCATATATGGTGTTGTAATAATACAATGTTGTGTGTTATTACCTATATATGGTTGTGGAATTTTTATTGTGTATTTTTTGCTTTTACAGCATTATTATCCAAATTTGGTAATAGAATGTTAATCTTATTTTTGCAGATGGTCAATGTTTGGCAGCGGGCGGTGATTGCCATGGTTATTCTATATTTGTGTTATGTATTGTTTGGCCTGAAAAAAGCATTGGAATTGCTGTTTATGTTTGATAAAAATTGGGGTGATCTGTATTATTGTGAAGATGAATATGAATGTGAATAGTTTAGAGGTAGCGCACAATTATTTTTCAATGATTTCGCCTACGTACGATACAGCAAAGTAAGTTTTTTTTTTAAATTTTTATAGTGGAAAAGGAAAGTTTTTGGAGATCAGTTGTTTGTAAATTTGAATGAAAAACTGGGAGAAGAAGGGCGAGAGGGTATTCAGTTTGCACCTTGGGAGAGAAGACCAATGCGTGAAGGGTGGTGTGTGAATATCTTGGATCAAGACATTCTTCACTGTGGCGTAAAGGGCTATGCTTACATGAACCCTAAAATATACGGGGTCGATTATATTAGCATTGGAAAAATAGTACTTGTACACGACATATTAACAAAATATAGTGTTAGAAATATATACAATCAAGAGGATCGAAATTTCTTTGAGTGTGACGGTGGTGAGGAGGACAGGGATATAATGCGGGACATAATTCATAGTCTAACAGGATTTTTTTATACTAATGACTATTCTTTGTAAATGTAAATATATTACAGCAAAGTATTTTAAGGAATGTAGGAGTATTAGTAAAGCAAGATGTGATACGGGAAATGTGTAAACTTTTTAGAATAATATAATCTAAAATATTTTCTAGATATATTCCATCTTATTTTCGAGAGGACGATGAAATAATAAATAAAATGTTGTTATGTTATGTTGGGGATTTTTGGCCAAGATCTTTTGCGGGAACAACAATTTTAATGGTTGACAATTGTCTTTACGAGTTGGAGCGTTATGTGTATTTGGTCGGGTATGTGTCGCGTGAAGCATTGACGCTGGGGTTGATTGACCGTGGCGAATATGCGGCGTACGAGGTTGCTTTAAAATATATCTCTGTTAAAGGTTTTGAAATAACATTTAAAGCCGTTCGAGAGGATTTTTAGATATTCTGATGAGGGGCTGGGCAACAGGAGGAGTTGGGGTTGGGTTTTATTATGAATTATTAGCGAAATATATGCAGGACTATTTAAGTATTGAATTATCTGAAATGTTAGATGGGGATATTAGGGGGTATGATAGTACACGAAAAATATTATATTCTTCAGAATTGTTAGCTGAACTTCAAAGATGGTTTATGTATTATCAGAATGAAGATAAATTGTAATTGTTGTCAATGGTTAAATGTTCAAAATTGTCCGTTGTTAAGACATCGCCCTTATCAGGTTGTATTATGTGGCAAAAAATTAATAAATCACCGCCATGTCATTTGGGGCATGAAAATGTACCATTTTTATATGAATTTAATGGAACGGCAGATTAATCTTAAAGATGGGGTAATGCGTATAGGGAAATCGCAATTGTTGTCTGGTGACCGCACGTTAACGCTTGGGTCGTATTATATTGTTACGATTATAACATTTTATTTTCGGGCCAACGTGAAATACTTGTTGGCGTAATCAACTGGTCTCAACACTTTTATATAACCGCAAGAATATATTGTGGTATTTACCCTGAAAAGTTTATTGGCGTTACGGAAAAATATTGTGGCGTGACATGCTCCAAGTATTATGTAAATATGTAAATAGTCTAATTGAATTGCCAATTAGGTGTACACTTGTATAAATAGGTGTTTTTGCTTGTAATAAAGTTGTTGTTGTGAAACTCATGTTGGGCTAGCATGTTACAATTGGTAGCAGGAAATGGTCGATTCTTATTGAGACGCGTGTTGGTTCAGTGATACATTTATGTGGAGTGATATGCCGGTGACTCGAAGTCAGCGAGGAGAATTAAGGGATGAGTTTGATCAATTTGTTGGCCAAAGTGCAGACGACGAACGGCAGAGTGAACACGAAGCGAGTGAAATTGGCCTTGAAGAAACGCTGCACTCTGTGAAGGGAGTATTGGGCGAGATAAAAGACGAAGAAAGCAAACTTAAAGAATTGTATAAGCAAGTTTCAGGGGAGAATCGTGTGTTAGCTGAGCGAATTGAGCGTTTAGAATCACAGGACACGGTTGGTTGGATAAACCGCCAGGCCGACTTGAAGACTCGGATAAACATTCTAGAAGGAAACATTGAACATTTAACGGCTACATCGCGTTCGTATGAGGAGATAGAACGTCAACTTGAAACATCGTCTGCGGAAATTCGAAGTGTTCGTACGCATTTTACGGAGAGTTTTGAAGGATTACTTAGCGCTGTAGAGGGCCTTGATAAACAACTGCAGTCAACCGTAGCTGATTTGCAAGGCAAAATAAATGACATTAGTAAACTTTGTTTACCAGAGATTCCAAAAGCCAAGTCTACAGAAATGAAAACGGGCAGACGAGATTTGTCTTTCAACGAAACGTGTGGCTCATGTCAGCAAGTTAAGGAGAGTAATTCGCTACGGAAACAAAAACCAGTCCAACCGTGCCTGAAGTTTAGTGGAAAAACATCCTGGGAGGTATTTCAAGCTCAGTTTAGCATTGCTGCAGAGATGAATGGATGGCAAGACGATGATAAAGCTGTTTTCTGGTGACGGCGTTAGAGGGGAGGGCTGCGATGGTATTGGGTAGTCTATCCGATAAAGAACGGCGGGATTATAACAAGTTAGTGACTGCTCTAACCGTACGGTTTGGGATGGCTCATCAATCAGAAATGGCCAGAGCTAAATTGAAATGTCGATCAAGGGGCAAAGAAGAGTCCATACCAGAGCTAGCTGAAAGCGTAGAGACTCTAACAAGAGCTGCGTACCCTGATGCTTCGTCAGACCTTCAGGACACTATCGCTAAAGATAACTTTATCGATGCTCTACTGGACGAGGACATGCGGTTAAAGGTTCGTCAAGCAAGACCACAGTCCCTCCAAGCAGCACTGGAAAACGCCTTGGAATTAGAATCCTTCCAATTGGCTTCTCGACACCGAAATAGAACTCCTCGTGGACCATCCTTGAACGTGCACAAAGTCAATGAAAATATCCCTCCAGAAAGTGACGAAAACTGAAGTATCAAACGCCTTGAATTAATGATTGATCGGTTGTTGCAAGAATTAACAAAGAACCCAAGACATCGCCCACCCCGTCCACCGACGTCCGCCAAATGGTGGTCCTGTGGTGAACCTGGTCATCTGCAAAGGAATTGTCCAAAAGAAAGCAAAGAACAAACAAACGAGCCCAAGAATGAAGATAGTAAAGAAATGGAAGCAAAGAAAGAAGACCAGCAAAGAAAGCTTAGGCGCGAAGCTTCCGAAAAATCACGGCCGGGAAACGGGAGGTGGTCGAGCTAGAGGGCCTTGGCTCGGCCAGTGTGAAAAGTGGAAAGGCCCCTATGGAAATAAAAGTTTGCGGTGGAACATTAAAGGTATCTGGATTCATTAACAATACGCCCTGTCAGTTCGTGGTAGACACTGGTGCTGACGTGACCATACTGAGTTCTCGAGTATTTCATAAAGTGGATTCTGCCGCATCAGTGAAATATATGTCTACTGATGGAGTTATAAGAGGCTTGGACCGACAAATAATCCCCGTTATCGGACAAGTCGCTCTGGAAGTTACGCTGGGTGAAACGGTTTCTACAATGGATGTATGGGTTGCTTATATTCAAGAAGAGTGTATCGTCGGCGCGGACTTTTTGAAGAAGGAGGGTTGCATTATTGATTATCCAAGACAGACACTTTGAATAGGCGGAACGGAAATCCCGCTAAGAATGGGTGGAGAAGAGTTGAAATGTCTAAGAGTGGTCCTGGATAAAGCTGTGAAAGTGCCACCATTTACCGAAATGGTCATTCCCGCTAAACTTGAAGGTGACCGAGGTGGTGTTCGATGGGGTACAACTGGTCCACCGAATTTGGTACGAAGGGACGGCGACATTGTTGTTGGCAGAACAGTTGTCGACTTGGACAAGGATTACATCCCTGTAAGAGTTGGAAATTTGTCATCCGGCCGGAAGAAACTAAAGAAAGGAACTGAGATAGCTGTTTGTGAAGCTGCCGCGAGTATAACGGCCACGAACATGGCTAGCGAAGGAAAGGAGAATCTCCAAACCTCGAAGAAAGAGCCTGTACCAGACTATTTACAATCCTTGTATGAAAGTAGCACGGAAAATCTTTGTGACCGCGACAAAGAGAAGGTTGCGGAGCTGCTGGTATGTTTTTAAGATGTGTTCTCCCAGGGATCGGATGATCTTGGACGTGCGACGGGTGTGAGACACGACATCGTCACGGGGAATGCGGCGCCTGTGAAACAACCACCAAGAAGAATTCCAGTCTCCAAGCGAGAAGAAGCGTCCAAAGCCATCAAGGATATGGAAAAGCAAGGCATAGTTGAACCGTCCACCAGTCCATGGAGCTCGCCTGTTGTTCTTGTCAGGAAAAAGGACGGCTCTACCAGATTTTGTGTTGACTATCGTCGCTTAAATGACGTCACTCGGAAAGACTCGTTCCCACTGCCACGAATTGACGCGACCCTCGACGCTCTCAATGGTGCCAGTTGGTTTTCTACATTGGATTTGAAAAGTGGCTATTGGCAAGTTGAACTTGAATCGAGTGCGAAAGAGAAGACTGCATTTTCTGCGGGGAAAGGTTTGTGGCAATTTAAGGTGATGCCTTTCGGATTGTGCAATGCTCCCGCGACGTTTGAAAGGCTCATGGAAGCCGTGTTGGCAGGACTTCCTTGGGAGACGTGTCTCGTTTATCTCGATGATATTATCGTTCATGCGGCTGATTTCAAGAGTCACATTAAGAATTTGCGTCTAGTATTGGAAAAACTCCGACAGGCAAACCTAAAACTTAATCCAAAGAAATGTAAACTTTTCCAGCAGCAAGTCCAGTTCTTGGGTTACACTGTGTCGAAACGTGGAATATCGGCGGATCAAGAAAAGGTGAAAGCTGTTCAAAATTGGCCACAGCCAACAAATGTTCGTGAAGTAAAGAGTTATCTGGGACTATGTACCTACTATCGACGATTTGTTCCAGGCTTTGCGAACATTGCCAAACCACTACACCTGTTAACCGAGAAGAATGCGAGATTCCAATGGACAAACGAATGTGAGGCAGCATTTAAATCGCTGAAACAACATCTTACGAAGACCCCCACACTTGCATATCCTGACTTCCAAAAACCATTCATTCTTGACACAGACGCCAGCAACATAGCCATTGGTGGTGTTCTCTCGCAGATTGTCGATGGCGCGGAACGTCCTATTGCCTACTTCAGTAAGACCCTGAGTAAACCTGAAAGTCAGTACTGTGTAACCAGAAGGGAACTGTTGGCGGTGGTTAAAGGGACAGAACATTTTCATCCTTACCTTTATGGGAATCGGTTTTTGGTAAGAACTGATCACGCTTCTCTACAGTGGCTCCTCTCCTTCAAGAATCCAGAAGGACAAATGGCGAGGTGGTTGCAGAAACTGCAGCAGTACAACTTTGATGTCGAACACCGCGCTGGAAAGCATCATGGAAACGCTGACGCCCTGTCCAGGAGACCATGTGACCAAAACGGATGCCGCTATTGTGAGAAGAGGGAGGTATTGGAATGGCAGTTACGGGAAGAAGACTCTCGGCATTCAGTTGTGAGCACGACTGGGCACCAGGTTGGCGCAGTTACTAGTGATCAAGCGTGTTTCGAACGTATTGGACAAGCACAGCGTTCCGATCCTGAAATCCGTTGTGTGATAACGTGGTTGGAGGAGTCGTTGACGAAGCCGGAATGGCGAAAAGTGTCCTCCTATAGTACTGCCGTGAAGTCGTACTGGGGCCAGTGGGAGTCATTGAAACTACATGAAGGGAGATTGTACAGGATCGTGGACAACGACGCAGCTCAGCAGCTTTGGCAACTGGTTGTCCCGCAAGCATTGCGAGGAACAGTCCTTCAACAGCTTCACAACAGTCCCACAGGTGGCCATTTTGGTGTTACGAAGACATTGGCTAAAGTTCGAGAAAGGTTCTTTTGGCCGAACTGCCGTCAGTACGTCGAAGAATGGTGCCGAAAGTGTGACAAGTGTGCTTCTCGTAAAGGACCGAGTAAACGTCAAAGAGGACCGATGAAACAATTCAATGTCGGCGCCCCGTTGGAAAGAGTGGCAGTTGATGTGTTGGGTCCCTTACCAACGTCTTCTAGTGGTAACAAGTATATCCTAATCCTTGGAGATTACTTTACTAAATGGGTGGAGGCATACCCCTTAGAAAACCAACAAGCTGTGACTGTGGCAGAAGTGATCGTAAAGGAGTTCGTTTCTCGTTTTGGTGTTCCCCTTCAGTTACACTCCGACCAAGGACGCAACTTTGAGGCAGAGCTGTTCCAGAGAATGTGCGAACTGTTGGGAATCGACAAAACTCGAACAACCGCGTTGCATCCACAATCTGACGGAATGGTTGAACGATTCAATCGAACTCTGGAAAACCAGCTTGCGATATTTGTCGAACAAAATCAAAGAGACTGGGATAGGTGGATACCATTTCTATTATTGGCGTATCGAACATCAATTCACGAGAGTACGAAGCAGACACCAGCATGTCTTATGTTTGGTCGAGAGGTGAGGCTGCCAATTGACCTGTTGTATGGTCGACCCCCTGGACCAGAGTTACCAAGTACAGTGGATGATTATGTCAGTAATCTACGGGGAAAGTTAGAAGAAATCCACGAGTTTGCACGCATTCGGATGCGTGTTGCCAGCGATCGAATGAAACTTCGCTATGATGTTGGTACGACGAAAGCCGTCTTTTCTAAAGGAGATGCTGTCTGGCTATACAACCCAAAACGGAGAAAAGGTGTATCCCCCAAACTTACTTGTGACTGGGAAGGACCTTATGTTGTTCTTAAAAGAATTAATGAACTGTTGTATCGAGTAAGGAAATCTGCGAACGCTAAACCTCGTGTCGTACATCGAAATAGGTTGTGGCGCTATCAAGGAACACTTAATTAAAACAATTAACGAACTTTATTCGGGACGAATAAACTAAGGAGGGGGCAATGTGGCGTGACATGCTCCAAGTATTATGTAAATATGTAAATAGTCTAATTGAATTGCCAATTAGGTGTACACTTGTATAAATAGGTGTTTTTGCTTGTAATAAAGTTGTTGTTGTGAAACTCATGTTGGGCTAGCACGTTACAGTACTATATCAGTACTATACACGAACTTTTATCAATGGATAATTTTGCGAGTTTTCATCCAATTCAATCATATATATGCTCAAAATCTTCGCGGTAAGTTTCTCTTTACCATAAAATTTGACCGAATAAGTTTCGAAACAATGCGACGGCAAAAAATGCAAAAATACTGATTTTCGTAATATAATTTATAGTCTTTTTGCCCTGTTGTACCGCCATCTTGGATTTATCATGTAGGCCCCGCCTGCGATAGATATGCGTTAGCAATCTAGATCTCCTATATCTATGGGTTTTATGGTGCCAGACACCCGCCTGTTCATATTTTACTATGATTGCCTAATTTTGTGTCACAAAGAGTGGCACCATCCCATAATATATGTTGTCAGCCATGGTCTGTTTTGTGACATGAAATTAGACAACACAGTACAACCCTGCAGATTTTTTCCATGTTAGCCCAGACAGATTCTTAATATGTAAATGGTTCTCACCTGACTGTTCATGCCACAAACTTATATTTTACCTTGCATGCCCTTGAGTCATGTTCGTGTTTATCCCCTTGGTCTTGGAGTTCTCTTTTAATGCCTGTATATATGTCGTGTGTGTTAATAATTGTTTATAAATTATTTGTATTACCATATAACAGCTCAGTAAATCTATTAAAAAAGAAAGATTCATTGATGTAAATCAAAATTTCATCAGTGTTTCCTGGGCATTCTGATGAGCTCTGATATAGAGCGTACTAGGCAAAAATTTAGCAACTGTCCTCCGTCTAGAAGAGACATGATGAATCAACATCACCAGGTCCAGAATTGTTGAAATTAATTAATATTACATCACCAACCTAAGTATTTTATTTTAGTGTCAATATGAGAGTAAATTGAGTAATATCAATGAATTCATACTTCCAGACGAGTTCATAATTTCAAAACATAATCTTAGCGTCTTGTCACTGTCAATCTCTTGAGCTCTTCTGTTGCTTATACAGCATCCGAAATCATATCCATGGCTCCGCACAAGCTCGAACAAAAGCTGTTTATCCAGCTTTTGCACGTGTCAAAAATTTCGCCCTTGGGCTTAGCTTTGCCACGAAGATAGGAACTGCAGCGACATTGTCAATCACACTTGTTTCGAATTCGTCAAGCGAAAAGCTTTCCTCAAGTGCCTCTGTCATAATTAATGGCAACAAAATTCTGGCAGCATGTTTCAAGGGAGTGTTACCACATGAACTATTTTCATGATTAGAGTCATTAGACACAAACTCCAAAGGTAAACACAATCGAACTCACACCTTCGGGATTTCGGTTTGCCGCTCCAGGTGTTGTTCTATCAAGTCACACAAGGTCCGGCCTCTTTATTCACTATTTTTAAATTAACTTAAAAAGTTAGATTATAAGATTGTGTTATTTCAGAACCATCCTCAGAGATACGAAAAACTACTTTCATATTAATCTGACACTGCAATCGAGCAACGAAAAATTCGTTGGATCGAGCGCGATTTGAACTCGCATCTTCGGGTATCTGACCGCCGCTCTACCTATTGAGCTATCGAGTCAACAGGGATTGGTAGCGAGTCTTATCCAATTTAATTGCACGAAATATTTTCGTGACGACTTAACGCTTAGAGCGGCGGTCTAGATACCCGAAGATGCGAGTTCAAATCCCGCTCGAGCCAACGAATTTTTCGTTGCTCGATTGCAGTGTCAGATTAATATGAAAGTAGATTGTGTTATTGTGCACAAGAATTTCCAGTGTACAAATGTACAAGAAATGCAGCGAAGTATTGTCAAACATTTCCACTCCTCGGTTGTAAATTATGTGGAATGTTTAATTAACGTGTTTTTAACTTATCATATACTACATCTTATATAATTAATGTGGATCAAAACAAAAAAACGTAAAAAGTCCGGCGCATGCGCAGAAGGGACTGTAACCTACCTTTAATTAGTGGGAAATATGGTTTTAAAGAAAAAGTGACCTCTGGGAATCAGCATTATGCCAAAAACGTCCTGTAGGAATCGGATCATACAGTGCCGTAGTAAGCTCGATAATTGGTGGGGGAGGGGGGGATCATATTCATATATTCGTGTTCACAACTTCACAGACCATAAAAACAATCGATTTCAAAAGAAATTAATAACGCTAAACACGAATATATGAATATGAGCCCCCCCCCCCAATTATAGAGCTTGCCACGGCACTGGGATCATCCATGGGGGGGGGGGGATATTCAATGGAACGACAGTCTGTCGTACTGACCTGCCTGAAAAACACAAGCAGTTTTCAACGTATCAAGTGAAGCCCCTTCGTAGGGGAGTTAGTAGCAACAATTTTGCATGACTATGAATTTCCAGCCTACAGGTAACTTGTGGATAGAAGTTATACCGACCATTGTATTTATTGCATCCTTAGGGGCTGTTGACAAATAGATTTCATCTGGCAATGGCAGATTCGTTTCGCGATGATCTGGACCACAATCGCCGTCCAATTCATTTGAAGCCTTCACACACAAGAGTAGGAGGAAGTAAGTACAGAGCCTCCCTACAATAAAACTACAGTAAGATAAAAATTTTTTTACCTAGATCAAGGGATAGTATCAACGCTATATAGTCATGAAATTAAAAGCTTATAGAATAGTCCTTCCATTATAAACAGTTACTACAGTATAAACAACAAGAGAAAAGTGTTATGTCATGCAAACATTAAATTCAAATAAAATAAAAAGAAATTCCCTCTGCTGCGCTGACGTGTTTTTAATACAAATATACTAAGAAAAACAGCATAATTATGCAATGTACATAATCTGAACTGTACTTATATATTAGTATGCAGTCTATATAGTTCAAGGGCAAGTTGACACATTGTCCAAAATTGTAACTCCCACCCCACTCCCCACCCACGCACACACTTTAAAATATACACCCCTTAGGGACTGGTCATTATTTATGGCGGGGGGTGGCACCGAAGAGAAATGTTTTCCGTGTCAAACATTTTGCTGACCCAACCATTAAAAAGACAAAAATTTGATTACCCAACCTCAAATATCAATTAAAAAATAACTACCTACCCCTGGCCAAAAACTTGACAAAAGGATACCATTCAGTTGTCATACATGTCCTTTATCACCTCTGTGACATGAGTTTGATAGCGGCTTGTGAAATTTTCTGCAGTCTAAAGTTTCGTGTTGTCTGCACATGTACTTTCTTTGGAAACACTATTTGTTTTGTCAAAATGATCAAGATAGTGACTCTGATTAATTCGCATATTGTATTGACAAATGACTATTGACATTGCTTTTCAGTCAACAATGAGTCATGCTTTGGAAATGACAATAATTTTTTATCACCCAACCCTTGAGCTGTTTTGTTTTTATTTACCCAACCTTTTACTTACTGAAAATTTTGTTTACCCAACCTTTTTCTCTTCGGTGCCACCCCCCGCCATAAATAATGCCCGGTCTCTTAAGCCTAGATCGTCCAAAAAGCTTAAAAATGACTCATATATGCAAAACATTTTTTGAAAATATTTAAAATTGGATATGTTATTAAGGATAATGTTTTTCAATTTTCTGTCCTAGCGGGAGAGTTTGCTATTATTGATAACAACTTGTTAAACGATTTAAAGTATCTAATGTCTCTTCCACACATTCCCCGTGGTTGTTGAAAGTTACTGCTAACCACAGAGTAAAATACAGCAAATCGAACCTGTATGCTATTAGTCTGTGCTAAACCTTTATGTTTCTTTACTCAAGGCATTTCCAACATATGAAGTGTCGAGTAGAATAACAGTTCTGGGATTTGATTTCCTCAAGCCATAGCTCGGGCACAGAGAACACCTTTCGCCATTATAAACCGCTTGCATTGTTCTTGGTTAACGTCAATTGGATTATTTTTCTAAGGGCCGGACCGTTAGAAATCCCGGGATGGGGGTGACAATTCCCCCCAAAATGACTGGGAAAAACAAACGGCAACATTTTGATTCGAATGTTTTATACTGTATATGTTTATATGTTACATACACTATTCTAGGATTTCTAATGGTCCGCTCCAAATGGCAGAAGGGGGGGAAATTAGCATTACTGTAGGTGTGAAAGTCCCCGCCAAATGTTTACAGCCTGGTTTCAGCCGAATGAATTTTGCGATATATGCACACTTTTAAAGGGTTAAAAACTGCTGCACGCATTTTACCCGATTTCTTTCAAAATTGCACAAAATATTGCGACATAGTTTAGCTACAAATTGTGTATGGGAATTTTTTTTAATCAAAATTAAGTAAGTTACAGGCCTTTACATAAATTACATGCCATTTTTTGTGTGATAACATAGGTCTGGAAAGAACTACACGTAGCTTGTTAACGCCTGAAGCAATAGAAAATCCCCAGACACACTTCTTTAGAGCAATCATCAAGGAGTGTATAGAAGGATATTTGAGAGAAAGAAGCCAAAACGAACAGAAACTCGCCGAAGATGGTTACCTTGATTTCAGATATACAAAAAAAGAAAAACCCATTAAATGTCTTGTTAACAATACTAATAGGTAGAGCGTTTAGTTTGCAATAGTTGGTGCAAATTAGATGCCGATGCTTAAATATTGAGTGCGTAATGCCAACTTTCCTGAGCCAGCTGCGTAGAGTGTTCTGTATATATAACCTTAAAGGGAATTAGCATAAAGATTAAATTTCGCCCAGTTGAAAGAGTGATTCAAAAAATTCAAAATCTTATTACAGATTTTCTTTATCGTTCTTGGTATGAAAGATATTACCCTTCATTTCATTTAAAGGGTAACTGCACAGAGATGAATGATTTACTTTTTCAGTTTTCTAGAAGAAGTTTGTTTAAGAGTGTATTAACTTAAGTGTAAATTCAAACAATGCATAAAATTCAATAACAAACATTAAAGTTATGCTTGGGTCATTAAGTTTTGACATTGATTTAATCGTTTTATTTTTTTTAACCAGAGGTGCATGAATTTTCAGCGATCTCAGGAAGGTTAAGAGATCTCAGAGGCGGTGCAACGCTATCTGATGGGAAGTGCGCACCTCGTCGCACCCCTCCCCCCGCACCGCCAAGAAAATCCGGCTATTGCTCGTTTGCAATCGACGCCATCTTGGTTGATTCAGTCGTTGCAACTAAAAATCTATATTCTTCATTCTTTGTCGTATTGTGCCAGAAATCGTAAACTATCCATAATATAGTAAGATGTTTTCAAAACAAACTAAAAATATTTTAGTAATTCAACTATTTCGATGTAAACGGTTTGACGAAACTTTAAAATCAGATGGCGCCTAATGACACGTAGTGACGTCATGTGCAAGCAAAGAATTGTCAAAATAAGTGAATTATCGGATGAACTATCTACCATGCCCATGCACGGTTTGGTCACAATTAAGGATCATCCGTTTCTGGAACAAAACGACATTTCAGTTTGCAATGACTAAAGTTTGACAATGTCGTGGGACTGCCCGCAGGCTAATTTGTAAGCTTACAATTGACGTGTCGCTAGTCACTTCACTAGAATTTTAAATTTTGTAAAAGCTGTTGTAAATTAAGATCTTCACTCGTACAAAAAGTTGAATAATAATAATAATAATAATAACAAACAAATTTACATAAGTGAACGTTGTGTTAAATATTATCAAGTTCTGTTCTCAAATCCAAACTCTACACTCTCAAAAACATGTGTTTCACATCACGCGTGAATCGCGCGAGACTGTCTCGTTCCACAATAATTATACATACTCCCCCACCTTGACAGATCAGAAATATATCTGTCAATATAACAATATAACAATTAAATTATTTCAATACATACAGTTTCAGTCCATGTTTTCTGCATTTGCTCTTTCAACAAAGGTGATTGGAAACTCATTTGTATCTACATGTTCAAGTTTGCTGTCTTTCACTTCAACGGGATATAGTCTCTGTACCGCTCATCTCGTTGTCGCGAGTTTTCCGGCTTTATTGAACATTCTTAGTGTTGCAGCTCGAACGTTTCCGTCTCTCCCCTTAAGTAAACTTTCTATCACCGCGATGGGCCAATTTAATCTTTTAAAGTTGTCTTCCTGAATCAGAACGACATCTCCGATTTTAACTTCTGGGCCGTCTTTCTTTCTTGGTTGATGATGTTCGCGCAACTGCGTCAAATACTCCGATTTCCATCTTTTCCAAAAATGTTCAAGAACATTCTTAAGATACTTGTCTCTCTTCAACAGTTCGTTTCTTCCTTCGTCTTCTACGTCGAACTTTCCTTGCGCTGAAACCGTAAGTATTCGTTTATCTAACACTAAATGTGACGGTGTTAATGGTTCATCTTAATCTGGATATACATAAGTTAGTGGTCTAGAGTTCAAAACTTCTTCTACTCGAATCAATAATGTCAGAAGTTCTTCGTAAGTAAGTCTAGCATTGCACAAGACATCTCTTGACACTTCGTACCATTCTTTCATAAAAACCTCCCCACCAAGGGGATTTTTCCACAATATATCGCCATTTAATGTTCTTGGAGGCAATAAAAGCTCTAATTTCTTGACCTTTAAATGTTTTTCCATTGTCTGAAATGATCAGTACGGGGATTCTACGTCTTCCGATGAATCGCTCTAAACTTCTAACGAATGCTTCGCTTGACATGTCTGGAACTAAATCCAAATGTAAGGCTCTACTGCTTGAACAAGTGTACAAGGATATGTAAACCTTGTGCATATCTTTCGATTGACTGTATATGTCCTTCACGTACATTGGACCTGCGTAATCGACGCCGATCTTGGAAAAGGCAAAATCGTTGCTCAAACGGAACTCGGGTAGTGGTGACGCTTCTGGGTTCCCGTAAGGTGGGCCTTCTAATCTTCGACAAATGGTACATTTCGAAAGGATCTTTTTCACGACTTGGCGACCCTTTGTTATCCAATACTCGGATCGAACTTGCGTCAGGGTTTCTCGAACTCCATTGTGCATGACTTGTTCGTGACTTCGAAGAACAACTAATCTTGTAAAATAGTGGTCACTTGGTAAAAGGATAGGGAATTTCGTATCATAGGGTAAGGGTGATTCTTGTATTCGTCCATGGCATCGTATAATGTTCTGTTTATCTTCGAACAAGTTTAAGGACTCTTTTACTTTTCGACAATTTTCTTTTTTGGACATTGGATGCTGAATGTCTTTAATCCATTTCAGTTCTGCGCTGTCGATTTCCTCACAGGTAATCTGTCCAACCGTGGTATGAAGATTCTCTACGCGTTTCTTGAGATTGTTAATAAAACGTAGGACATACGCTGTAACTCGAAGTAATCTTCCAATAGTGCTGTATTCCGAGGCATCCATCAATTCCGTGATATTTGGAATTTGTGCGACATTAACGATTGATGTACTAACGCTTACTCCCGGAGATTTTAACTCGGAATCGTCCTCTTGGGAATTGGAAGGTTGGGATGGCCAATGTTCAGTAGACTTTATTAAAAATTCAGGACCGTTCCACCACAATTTGTTTTCTACAAGCTGGGTTGCTGTTGTTCCTCGGGATGCAATGTCTGCTGGGTTTTGTTTGGTAGGTACATACTTCCATAATTCGGGGGGTGCCAGTCTTCTTATCTCTAATAATCGGTTTTCAACAAATTGTTTGAATTCTTTGTTAGAATTTCGTATCCAACTGAGCACTACAGTTGAATCAGACCAATAGGTGACTGAATCGATTCTCTTGACATCATTCAAGGCTTTCTTCACGCTTTCTGTTAACCGGGATGCTAGAAGACTTGATAATAATTCCAACCGAGGAATTGTCTGCTTCGACTTGGGGCCACTCTTGTTTTGAAGCAACTATAGATCACAATGAATACCTTCTGAGTGTTCACATCGTACGTAGACACACGCACCGTAAGAACCTTCGGACGCATCTCCAAGGGAATGCAACTCAGTCGACTTTATTTCACTACCGAACGAATCTGGACAATAACATCTTGGGATACTCATGTTGTTGGCTTCTTTCAATTTCTGGACAATCTTATTCCATTCTTCGCAGAATTCGTCATTCAGTGGTTCATCCCAGTCGACTTTGCTCTTACTCAACTCTTGAAACATTTGTTTGAATCGAAGGGTGACTGGAGATATAAGACCTAACGGGTCATAAAACTTTGCTGCGATGCTTAGTATGCTTCTCTTCGTGATAGCATTTGTCTCGACATTCTTCAAGGGAGCAGAAAAGATCAGAATTAACATGTCCGTTAGGGGATTCCATACTTGACCTAAGACACGAGGGTGGGAGTCGAGTTGCTGAGGGTCGACGATTGACTTTGTATATCCTTGATCTTCCTCCGTTACTGAACTCGGTAAATTAGACGGCTGTTGAGGACTTTCTGAAAATTGTGGATAATTTTGAAACTCCGTCATTAATTATTTGCTGTTACTCAACCATTTGCGCATATTGAAACCACCTTCGGACAATTGGGTTTTGATCTTCTTCGCCAATTCCAAGGCCGATTCTGGATTATTTGAACCAGATGCAAGATCATCCACGTAGAGGGACTTTAGCACCTTGGTAACAAAGGTTGGATCAATGGTGGAATATTGAGTAAGGTGATGATGGAGTACAGCATTCAAGATGGCTGGACTGCAGGTAAGACCAAACACTAGTCGAGCAAATCTTAAGGTTAAGATCCAAAAGAAGCGTAAATAATCTCGATGCTCTGGTGAGATAGCAATATTCAAGAACGCTTTCCCGATATCTGCGATCATCGCTACTCTATATACGCGTAATCGAACCAGAATATCGAAAATCAGGGTGTTGAGGGATGGTCCGGTATGTAGACAGTCATTCAAACTTGTTCCAGAACCTTTGGCTGATGCATCGTATACAACTCTGACTTTTGTTGTATTCTTATCTTCTCGAATGACTTCGCGATGAGGAAGGTAATGAATGTTTCCAACCGGAACAAGGACGTCATTAGCATATTCCACAACACCAGACTTTATTTGATCTTTTATTATATTGTCATACTCCTGTAGAAGATTGGGTTTAGCCTTCAGTCGGGTTATCAAGGAATTAAGCCGTTTCACAGAGCCCGTATGATTGTCAGGTAGCAGTGGATGTTCTTCTCGAAAGGGTAGTTTAATTTCATACTGTTTTCCATTGAAGTTTATTTCTTCCATAAACTTAAACTCGGTGGTAAGCTCGTTGTCTCGAATTCCTAGTGTTTCAAGATCCTATAATTTTTCTAATTGATTGTACAGACTGTCAGTTGGGTTAGTTATAACTGGTTCTGCATCAATACGGAGTACATGGGTTGCATTAAGGTTGGTCGTATAGCTAGGGTTTCTCTAATTCTTTTGGATCACAGGTCAAGGCAGTACCCATTCCAGTCTAGTAAGGACAGCTACAGGACCAGGTTTTGCACCACATTTTGTTGTGCCAGTTATGAATTTCCAGTAGTAATCTGCACCTATTAATATGTCCACTTCTACATCACTACCGTCAGACATACCTGGGGTATCTGCGAGATTCAAACCACGAAGATGTGGGTATTCTTCAAGTGCAACTTTAATTGACTGATTGCTAATTGGACTGCAGATTGTAGGTACACTGTATGCATCCATCGTAATATCATTTCCTTTGGTATCTGTTACTGCAAACTTAACTCTATTGCATGTGAGGACTTTTGGAGCTTCATCACCAAAAGTCTTAATAAGTAGGTTTTCTGACTCAACCGTCTCTAAATTCAGGGTATTTCTCAATCTATTTGATATGTAGGATCGCTGACTACATGAGTCAAACACAATTCGAGCATTATGCTTTCCAACTAATTCACTTCCAACTTTGCCCACTAATTATAAGCTCTGAGCTGTCTGTAGAAGAACTGCTGTATTACTCTCAACATACATAGTAGATGTTTCAGTTTGGGTTCCCTGTGCAGTTTCTGATTTAGTACTGGGTTGATTAACTTGCTGTTGTCTCACAGGGTCATGTTGTTGTTCTATCTTGCCTCCCGGGTATTGGCATTCTTCTCGCAGATTGATAAATGATGATGACCACCACACTTTTGGCATTTATACTGAGAGTCACAATGTTTTATAATATGACCAGATCTCAAGCATAAGAAACATGCATTTCCCTTTTTTCCTTAGAATTGCTCTACCGGCAGCTACATCTGTAACAATAGGGCACGATGCTGATTTATGCTGCTTAGAACAATAACTACAGTATGGCACAGATGACGGAGCTTTCCCAGAGAACAATGTTGATGATGAATAGGGCAATTTCCCTCTATAACGTCCGCTTCTATTTTCAAATGGCTTGGGTGAACTATACTTTTGGGGATTGTGTTACATCTCTCTCTGGCTTCGAGTTCCCATTTAAACTTACATAACAGGTTTGTCAATGTTCCATTCATTTTTCTCTAAGTTTCGAGCAACAATGAGACGCATTTCTTCAGGAAGCTTACTGACAATAAGTGGTACGAGAAGTTTTCCATACGAGTTAGAATCTATTCCCAGATTTTTAAGACTTCTAATGCGGGTTTCAATTGAGTCATACAATTGACGAATCTTACTGACCTTATGTATGTCACTAACAGCTGGTAAGTTCAGTAACTCCTCTATATGACTCGATATAATAATCTGGGGGTCAGCGAATCTGTCTTTGAGAAATTTAACTGCTGATTCATAGTTATCTGCGGTTAGTGCGAAACCGTCAATAGCTGAGGCGGCATTGCCTTCAACCAAACTTTTCAGGTAATTGAACTTATCAATTTTGAATACACCGCTATTATTGTGTACTGCAGCTTCGAAACTGTCCCAAAAGGACTGCCAGAATTTGGGGTCTCCAGAGAATTTTCTCAATGTCAGCTTTGGTAATTTCGCTTTGATTGTAGGGGTTGATGTATTTGCAGGGCTGCTGATTGGAGCAGATTCAGTATTACTAGAAGACAGACTTGCTGCATTGTGTACAGGGTTCAAAGCATTATTTATCTTAACACGTACTCGATTAATCGACTCACCGATATCACTAGCTTCGATTATCTCGTTATTGATGTCTTCATCTTTCGTAAACTCCAATATAGTTTCGTCAATACTCTTACGAACTTCTTTCTTATCTTTTAAAGTAACCTTGATACTTTCTAACTTTTCTCTTTCACTCGTAGATCCGCTAAAATGCTCGAGAATTTCGTCAGCACTGTCAATAATTTTACTCACGTAAGCACGATGTCCGCCACGTATTCGAATCGATCTTTCTGTCGACATTTTCAAATTTCCTTCGAATTCTATCCGGTTCTAAAGGACCATGTTGTAAATTAAGATCTTCACTCGTAGAAAAAGTTGAATAATAATAATAATAACAAACAAATTTACATAAATGAATGTTGTGTTACATATTATCAAGTTCTGTTCTCTCAAAAACATGTGTTTCACGTCACCCGTGAATCGCGCGAGACTGTCTCGTTCCACGATAATTATACAAAAGCCTTGCCTAAAACACATGGTTTTCAATATATACATGTCTTTATCAAATTATTGGTATAGAATAAAGCTTTATATTGTTCCACGGTTAAATAAGCCCTTGGTAAATCGAGTTTGTTTTATGCCGTACCATAAAAAATACTTAATCAAACAAAGATGTCAACTGTTTTGATAATGCTCTCTAATGCTAATCTTTTAATTTGATTTTAGACAAAATGCCAGCTGGTAAAGTCATCTTACCTTCATTCGAATTCCAAAGTCAAGCAAAAGACCTGCCCATGAAGTTGGTATATTCACCATCAATTAGGTGTTTTTTGGTTACGACTGAACCAGGCGTTCTGGGTTTCCTCGATATTGATTCAAAATCCATTGTTAAGTCGGTTCTTATTGAACGCGAGCTGCATTACAGAGGTCGATTGGCGCTTTCCCCTGATAATGACATGATTGCTTTAGCTTCTGAAAGCGAGTATCACCAGAGGACTGGAAAGATCCTTCCAAATCGATTATGTATCTGCAAAGTGAGTTATGGTAAACTTATTTTTCTCGAACCTCATTTTAGTGTATCGCCCACCACAGCCATCATTTATTTTCCCGATGGAAGTAAAATTTTGGTTGTCAACTCTCACAATGAGAGTAAAGAACAAAGTTTGGGAAGAATGTTTGAAATTCCAAAGAAACTTTCCTTCCAGAATGAGCGTCACGCTAAGCATCGTGAAGGTTTGGAGAAACACAGAAATATAAAGAAATTGGAATTTACTGACATCCCTCTTTCTGATCATCTCGTAATGCACCAAAATGCCAGGGGAAAGTTTTATGAACCTCTGGAAGATGAGGATGGTTGTAGAAATGGTTTTGCCGTGGCCTTATCACCCGATACTACACGAATTTTAGCAGGCAGCGGTTATGGTGACTTACTCATCTTTGATGTAAACAGTCTGAAAGTTATACAATTTATGTCAATGTATGCTTATTATTGTGAAGTCGTTTCATGTCAGTACAACCCAGCGTTAGCGCATCACGAGTTTGCAACTTTTGATATACGTGCCCGCTTAAGAGTCTGGAAGGTTGAAGACTTGGAAGATGACAAAGAACAAATTCAATGTTTGCGTCGTTTTCAGTTTAAGGAAGAGCCCTTTGGAAGTGATCAGTCATTATCTTATTCCCCTGATGGTGCGCTAATTGCATTAACCAGCACAAGCCGCGAAAGAACGACAGTAATTTGTTCACATTCTGGAGAAATTCTTTATACTTTGGTACACAAAGTTGTCGCAGAGGAACCTCGAGGACATTCTCCGGCTTGTTTCAATCTGTTCTTTGGTCATTTGTGTCAAGTCGCTGCTGTTTATCAGAATAATACTTTATGTTGCTGGAAATTGCCTATTGTTTACAGTTTGAAAACCTTATGTTTGTTAATGCTCAGGTCCCACGTAAGGTATAATGACGTAGATCAACTACCTTTGACGCAGCCACTAACCTTAAGATTAAGATATCTCTATGTGTAAATTTTACTGTGAGCGAATGTTTTTATCACACATATAGAGAATGAAGGTGATAGGATGAGAACAAATTGTTAAAACATTTTAACAGGTTTGCTGGACTCATTCACAAGTTTGTTATCAACTGTGCGAAAATACCTGCATGTTTTTTTCTTTTCTTGTCTGAGTCGATTAAAACATACAGTAATTGTCGTTGCATGAAAATAGCTTATAAAGCTAGCTAGCGCAACTTGGACTAATCAAGTAAAGAAATTATATTTGTATACACTTGCCGAAATAGAAGCAGCTGACCTAAACTCAGTCAAAATCATGTTCACTTATATTAAATGATGAAAAACAGAACCAGAAATAATAAAAAAACTCTTCCAGTCGAGTGACCTCCAGATCTTTGCCTTATGGAAGACAAAACTTAGCTTAACGCCCTTGCATTAGCACCCTAGCTACGTGGCTTAGCACCCTTGTTACGTGATCCGCGCGTTGCTCACGGGTACCACTAGGGAAACTAAGGTAGTCCTGTCCTTTGATATCCCAATATGCCCTGAACTCCATGATGCTATAAGTGATCTGCCTGCACCTGATCGGTTAATGGGTGGGTTAGTTTCAGTAAAGTTTTTGATGTGGTGCTTTTTCAAATGGTTTAATACGTACAGAAGAAACCAAATGATGCTAAATGTACCTAGTGTATGCATTTGCCAAACACAATTTGAATGAACAATATTGTCACTACTCTTCGAACGTTCCGTTCTACAAGTAAAATTATAGATTATATTACTGTTCGCTCTTGTTTCTCTCTTTTTGATGTTGGAATGTTTATCAGGTAGCAGTCCATGTAGTTTATGGATGGGTTGAACCATATTTCTGATAAGGTCAATACACAGATGCTTTCTTCGTTCTTTTAGTGGTATCAGTTTACTTTCTATTAAGGCTTCATTGTAGTCCTTTCCAGGGCAGATAATCCTGAGCGCCCGTTTTTGAATTCTTTCGATGTTGTTTCTTTGGTCTTGGGTGAGGTTTCCATGCCACACTTGCGCTCCATGCTCGAGAGTGGACCTTATAACAGCGCAATAAAAGGACTTTAGATCATCTTTACACGCGCCATAATTCTTAAGGATCTTTAAAAAGTGGAGCCGTTTAGCTGCTTTTTTAATAATAAATTCAGTATTTGTGGCCCACTTCATATCATTATCCAGCCACATTCCTAGTAGTTTATATGACTTTACCCGAGCAATAGGTTGGTCGTCAATATTAATCGGTGGGATGGTTGTTTTATTCTTCCTGAAATCGAGAATCATTTCTTTGCATTTTTTCACATTTAGTTCCATTTTTTCGTGGTTTGCAAACAGAACTACATTCTTGACATTTTCTTCAGTTTTTCCAGTCGATGTCCCGGAGGTGTGATCTGATACTTCTATCACTTCGGATAAGGTCATGTCGTCCATAAACATTGTTGTTTCTCCCTCATCCGTATAATTTTGGTTGGTTGTTTCGGCCGATTCCCAATTTGTAACTGATGGAAGTTGGACCTGATTTGCTGCCCTGTGGTACACCCCCATTAATTTCCATTCGCTCGGATTTTACACCATGATGTGAAATTATCTGTGATCGTCCTTGTAAATACGATTCAAACCATCCAATCAAGCCCGGACGTATACCAATGTCATTGAAGTTTTGCAAAAGTCGGTTGTGGTCAATTAAAGTCAAAGGCTTTTCGGAAATCGAGGAATGTAATTCGAACAATTTTCTTATTATTCTCCATCGCTAGATGCTACTTGTATAGTTGGCAAATTAATGCAAGGACAGCAGACATTCCAGCAAGGCCACCAAATTGAGATTCACCAATTTTGTCATTAGTATCATTTAGGATCCACTCAACAGCATATGATTCATGACGTTTTGAAAAAGTGCTAGTCAATGCAATTGGCCTTAGTTCTTCCACTGACGAACATGGTAGAATATTGATAGAATTTTTAGGTTAAGAAAAGGCTAAAGGCCCGAAATCAATATAAGATGTAAGCTGGCTCTGGAGTAATGAAAAACACTTTAAACTTTACAATTTGAGCCGATTTTGTTGTAAGTAGATCAAAGTAAAGCTGAACAGAAAGTGTGCGAAAATTTCGATGCCAAGCAATGAATGCTCATGGCCATTTTTGACCCATTTGAAAAATTTTTGCTCAGGCACGATAGACACACACCAATCCAGTTTTATTTCCTAATGGCAATGTAGTATACTGATAAAAATCTTCGGAATGAAACGTGTATTAACACTATGGCAGGTTGTGGCCACAAATGCATGTATTAACAGGTTGTTACCCAAGATGAGCTTAACTGAGCATGCACTATAGATTTTACATGCTGAAGTATACTGCTTCAGAATATTAATGACGCCATACACGCATGCATCATTAATCGGCAAAATAATCTCTCAAGAACAATATGAGTTGACTCAAGAGTAATTAAAGAACGTTTCACAATAATAAAGAACTGACAATGTTAGCCTTATTTTGTTGCAAATAAGTCAAAGGACAAAGACGTAAGGATTTGTAGATGGAAATTTTTGTCCATTTATTATACGTAACCAGGAGCAGTTTCGAAAAATGCAACTATACTATAGGCTCTCGATGGCAGGAATCGAACCTGCGGCCCTGCGATTCCGGTGCCAGCGCTTAATACCGACTGAGCTCCACAAAAGCTTCTGTCTTTTTTCTTTGAATGAAATGAACAAAAAAAATGTCAGACCGAGTCTATTATCGATGTTCCCTATACAAATCAGTGAAATAAATATAACTGGAACGCTACCTGCAGATAAACACAGAGGCGGCGGAAGCATCCCAAAAGTGGAGGGCCATAGGCCAAAAGGGGCACTTTTGTATATGACCAAAATCAAACGATTCTTTGTCGTTGACGAGCCGAACGAAATTTTTTGAAAATATGGAGTCTCTATAACGTTAGAAATGGCCTTTACAGAGTCTTAAAAAGGCCACTTTTTTCACTTTTAAAAAGTGGGGGCCACATGCCCCCATTGCCGCCTGGTTGCACGGCCCCTGGATAAACAGCCTATGAGTATCGTTTTCTTGAAGCCGAATCTGATCGCGTGTTTATATATGCCTTGCGATTCTCTCGCGAGACCAGTTCAGGGAGCGAGCATCCTGTTTGCCCGTTTTAATAAGAAAAAAACTAAAAGTAAAGTCTAGCAGGAAGTTTTACCTGAATAATTAACAATTATTGGATGAAGTTTTTGTGATATGCAGAATTATCAAGGTCGAGGTAAGCGTTATCAGCCGAGCCGAAGGCGAGGCTGATAACGCTTACCGAGACCTTGATAATTTTGCATATCACAAAAACCGAATTCAATAATTGTTTTATTATACATTTGTTTGTGTTACAGTCAAAATACAAGAACCTTCCCGCTTCTGTAACTTGTTTTGTATTTATTTGTTCTATTTTCTGTAGCGATTACCGCTTTATCGGCACATATCGCGTTAGGATCCGGTAGAATTTCGCTTTCCTTCCTTTATATACGTTAATTTGTAGCAATGGATACACCTTTCGTTAGATTCGTTGCATAAAAGTTGCGAAACTTAGATCTTATAGCGATATTTGTTGATAAATCGGTTTTAAACCGCCGCCTATAGTGTGTTCATACTATACAAATTATGCAAAGAATCTAACGAAAGGTGTATCCTTTGCTACAAATTGACGTATATAAAGGAAAGAAAGGGGAATTCTACCGCGATATTTGCTGACAAAAATCGCTACAAAAAATAGAACAAATTACAGAAATACAAAACAAGTTACAGAAGCGTAAGTGGGAAGGTTCTTAGCTGTAAATAGATACCTCTTGCTAATCATCGCAGGCTCATTTGCATATAACTGAGTTATCTGCTAGCAGATAACTGAATTTTCTGTATGTTGCATGATTGCGCGATTTAACTGTAAGCTCTTAGCCAATCAAATTGCTTTTACCAACTACAATGTATAATAAATGCATTTATTATTAGCATGACAAAATTACTGGATGCTGATTGGTTGAGAAGAGTACAATTATTTCATTAACTGTATTGCAGTACAATTAATGATTTTCTCAAAACAAACAAAATTTTTTTAAAGAAGATTAAATAATAATAATAATAATAATAATAATAAAATGGCGGAAAGGTATTTTAAACACAATTGCGAAATGAAATTGCCGTGGAGGAACTAGATGAAAATACGAACAAAAGCACCAAATTTTGCTTGAACAAAAGAACTAAATGAAAATACAAACAAAAGCACCAAATTTTGGTTCAAAGTCTGGCAGGACTGGGCTTTGGCGAGAGAATACGATGTTGACATTGAGAAGTACGTATCCAATATTGTCATGCTAATAATAAACAAGTAATCATGCGATGTTGCTCGTACAATTAGGGATTAATAGTACTCGTGATATTTGGAAATTTGCCAAATTGGACCACAGGGGGCCCCACTATGAGTTATGATTGAAATAATATTGTATTTAATTTTAAAAACCTACTTGAATCCCTTGATAATCGATTATTTCTTCTCTCGAAATTCTGTAAACATTTTAAACTGCTTGAATCATTATACTATCACTCTACATGAAGTATAGATGATCGCTGACAAGTAAGAACGCGGGCGCGAAAAGACGAAGGCGGCGAAAGAAGGGAGAATTAAACTAAAGGGTTGAAACTTCGACTAGATGACATTTCTAAATGCCTTAAAATTCACAATTTATTTGTGTTTTCGAATATTTTTTTGCAGATTCTATGTCTTTTTGGATATATCTTCACAACTGATGTAGTAGATTCAATAAACGATTGATTTTTCGTATGTTTTTACATGAAACACTCGAAGGGTTTTTTCGCACAATGTGTTCCATAAGTAGGTTGTTCTCGTGACGTCAAGTATAATGAGTCCGAGCCATTTAAAAGGTTT